GAGCGAGTTACAATAATCAATCCTAGATAAGACCAACGAAGTAACAAGAAGAAGAGTAGGATCATCAAGAAAAAGCAAAAGTTTTTTTATTCTACGTAGATGAAAGTAAGAGCATCTAGCAACACTATTAATCTGAGAAGAGAGAGACATAGTAGAATCAAAGATAAAACCTAGACTACAAAACTCATGAGAGACATCAAGAGTTTTAGAATCAGGTAAGATAATAGGAGGAATAGTAATAGAGTGTTTAAATTTATTAAAACAAATTAATTCAAACTTAGAAGGATCAAGTTTAAGACACATAGAGTCAGACCAAGCGATAATTGAAGAAAGACATAAAGATAAATTATGAAGAACACTATTAAGATTAGATGGAGGAAAAAAAATATAAATGTAAGAATCATCAGCATATAGTTAACTAGAGAAAGAAAAGTTATTAATAATACGAGGTAGTTCAGAAGTATAGAGTATAAATAGAAGAGGGCCAAGGATAGAACCCTGAGGTACCCCGAAATAAAGAGTAGAGGAGTTCGAAGTAGAATTATTGAGAACAACAGAAAAAAACGATTACAGAGATAAGAAGAAAACCAAGATAGACAAGAATCAACAACAACAACACACGTTTAGACGGCATTTTCCCCGAGATCGGGGGTTGCCGTTTGGCTACCTATGATGAAACCGAAATACCCCTCGACGCCATCCACATCTGTCCCTCGCCTCAGTATCACGCAACCCCGCTTTCACCCTGTCCTTCTCCACCTGCTCTCTCCATCCCAATCGCGGACGACCCCTTCCTACCACTCCTTCAACCTCGAACTCCAACGCTCGCCTAATCCCAACCCTTTCATCCCTTCTCAACACATGTCCATACCACCGCAATCTCGATCTCCTTATCAATGTCACAATGTCCTCATTCAGTCCCATCATTGACATCAGCTCTGTACTACTCCTCCTATCCTTCACTTTAACCCCACACATCATCCTCACCATAGCTCTTTCAGCCCTCTGCAGTACACTTTCCTCCTCTCTCCTCAACACCCAAGTTTCACCACCATATACCATCGCTGCTCTCACACATGCTTTATATACCCTCCCTTTCATCTTCACTGACCAGAATCAGTAATATTAAAAAAAATCTAGCAGCCTCAAGAGAATAGTATGATCAACAGTATCAGGAGCAGCGGAAAAGTCAAGTGCAGGAAGAAGAGTAAGATTACTATTGCCAGTAGAGAGAAGGATATCATTATGTATTTTGAGTAAAAAAGTTTCAGTACTGTGAGCAGGTCTGAAACCAAACTGAGATACATGTAGCAAGGAGTTAAATTTTAAATAAGATAACAATTGGTTATAAACTTCTTTTTCCATTATTTTAGAGATGAAAGTAATATTAGTAACAGGTCTATAATTAGATAAAGTGGTAGGATATAAGGATGAGTTTTTAAGAATAGGAATAATAATAGAATTCTTATAAGAAGTAGGAAATTAAGAGATAAATTAATTAATTTGAGAATGATAGGATAAAATATTGAAAAAATTCTTCAAGTAAATTAGAAGGAAGTAGATCTAGAGAACAGGTTGTAGATGACATAGAATTAATAATTTTAGTAAATTCTAGAAGATTTATTGGAGTAAATACAGAAAAAGATTCAGTAGTGAGTTTAGTAAAGTTATGATGAGAAAAATTAGAATTAGATCTGCTTAAAGAAGTAACTTTATTTACAAAAAGTCATGAAACTGTTGAGCAGAAAGAGATGAGTGAAAGTATTTCTTATGAAGAAGTTTAGATAGAACAGACCACCTATTTTTAGACGTTGAAACAGATATAATTTCTAAGAAATGTAGAGTGTTTAGAAAATAGTAGATATTTATAATTAACTAATTTAGATTTGTAGATAGAATAAAGAGAGTTATAAAGATTTAACCAATAGGCTTTCTCCAGTCTTATAACACTTTTCTTAGCTAATACAACAATGATGAATTCCAGATAGGAGCAAAAAAGCTCGAACAAGTGAACCAATTTATATATCTGGGCAGCCTCATAACTGATGACAATAATTGCTCGAAAGAAATTGATAGAAGAATAGCAATCGCGAGAGGAATGTTTGCATCTTTGAAAGTAATATTGAAAAACGGTAATGTATCTACAAAAACAAAGTTAAAGATCGTAGAAGCGTGTGTGTTTTCTACATATGTATGCATGTGAGGCTTGGACGTTGAAGAAAAGAGACAAAGACAAACTGGAAGCATTCGAGATGCATTGTTATAGAAAGTTGCTGGGAATCAGTTGGAGACAAAAGATAAGAAACGATGCCATAAGAATACAACTTGGAAGACAAAAAACTGTGTATGAAAGGGTCAAAGAAAGAAAGCTGGGTATCTTTGGGCACATCTGCAGAATGACAAACGACAGACTGATCAAAAAAGTACTGATGAGAAAGAGGGACTGGAAGAAAAAAGTTGGAAGACCTGTGAGGAAGTGGATGGATGATATCACGGATTGGACGGGGGTTGGAACATTGGGCTCAATGAAGATGGCGAGGGAAAGAAAAGGATTTTAGAGAGATAGAAGGATACCATCGGCCTCAACGGTCCCTTAAGGGACTACAGAGGATCATTGATTGATTGATTGACACAAGCATAGTCGAACCAAGGAGCCAAACGAGAATAGAGCCTATATATAAAAGATTTAAGAAGAATAAGCTTATCAAGAATAGAAATAATATTGATATTATAATCATAGACAAAATCATCAACATCAGAAAATAAGGAAGTATCAAAAATAGTTTCAGTAAAAGATTTAAGAAAAGAATCTTCATTAAGAAAAAACCAGCATCTTTTAGAAATAGACATAGATGAATTGGAAAGAAAAAAATCAAAAAAAATACAGATCCAATAAGGAGGCGATCAAAATAAGGAGCAGAGCTAGCAGATATGTTAATAGGCTTAGAAAAAGATGAAGCTATTATAAAATCAATAGTGTTACCAGAAATATGAGTAGGAAAAGAATAATATTGTGTTTATTTAAAAAGAGACAATATATCATTAAATGTACGAGTGTAAGAACAAAATAAGTTATTGAAGTGCAAGTTGAAGTCACCAGAGATAAAGAAAGAGATAGAAAAAGAGTAGAAAGATTCAGCGAATGAGTAAAATTCATCTAAAAATATAGAGGGAGAAGAAAAAGGAGGTCAATAGATTACAGCAAGAAAAAAAGATTTATTTGTAGTTTTTACATAGGCTGCAGTTTCAAAGCAATGTTTATTTCGGGTGACGAGGACATTAAGAAAAGGTAGAGATTTATCATTCTCATGCTCAATGGTGAAGTTTACTTTGGATTAGTTGAGAACATTGAGAAGTTCCTTAACTCATGTGAAACATCAACATATCTTGCATATATGTGTGGTTTGAGATGTGAATTATCTTGATTTTTCGAGATGACCAATAATAAAGTTGGCGAAAAGAAAACCTAGAGGTGAGCCCCCTGGCAGCTCTGTTTATCTGCTCGTTCAATTTACCATTGGGGCTGTAAAACGGTGCGTGGTGCAAATTTGCAACAATGACTTTAGCATATGTTTAGGTTTGTTAATGGGATTTGATTAGAGTGGTAAACGGTGTTGATCATTATGCCGATGGTGTATTTGATGGGAACATTGGTAAACAATGAACCTACATCAAGTGAAGCAATATGATTGGATGGCTGGTTTGTGTTTAACAAACTTATTAATTCTTTGGAAGTCACTAGGGGTGTACGGAGTTAGGAATTTGTTGAGAAACTTAGCTATAAGATAGGTGGCTGTCAGATATGGCTTATAATTAGATAGAGAAGATAATTCGACTTGTGGGTTTTAATGTTACCATAGAGGTATCCAGGAGATTATTCACCAACGAGCAAATTGATTTCGTCGTTAGGAATGTGTTTACTGAGTTTTTTAATCAGTCCGTCTTGAGTTCAGTAGCAGGATCTGATTTTATTTCTCTGAATTTGGTTTTGTCGTTAAGAATTGTATCCAGTTTGTCCAGATATTTTTTCTACAAATTGAGAGGATTTCTCTGCACGTCTAACAATAACATCGTTATTCTCTTTTAATTACTCAGCGGCAGCTTTCAATTCATTAGTCATAAACTTGCTAAGAAATTTGCCTTGTTGCTTCTTAGCTTCAGCCTGCAGTTCATTTGCTATTGCTACAGAGGGATCTGTCCTTTACGTTCAGCATCTAATATGTTACTCTTTAACTTTTCTATTTCGATTGATTTTCCAATATTGTTTGGTTTCTTAATGTAGTGGCAACTGAGTCTGAGTTTCAGTTAGTATATTATTCTAACTTTAATAAAATTAGTAATGACGACAAGATTTTTGTTAGATATAATGAGAAATTTAATAAAAAAAACTATCCAAAGCTAGAATTTCGTTAGAAGTATTAAGAAATGTAACAAAAATACTATCCAACGCTAGAAATTCGGTAGATTTCATAAATTACTGCTTATATATATTTTTATTATGTATATATTTATATTATATACACGCACACACACGAACACACACAAACATATATATATATATATACATATAATTATATATAATATACATATATATATATAATGTATATGCTTCTTAAATGCATGAGAGTTCACTGACTCGAGACATGGATACACCAGACATGTTGCTTCAAATAAATAGTAGTAAAACATGCACACGTGCTAGTTGTACTGTAGGCTACAAAACAGCTCATTGTTGGCTGATACACGCTACTTATACGAATGAAACACTTGTGTATGATAACGTATGTTTGTTTTAATTATATATTTTATGATAATAATAGCGTAAGTGCACATGTGTATATATATTAAATATATATATGACCCATACATATACACGCATATATACATGCATTTATACATTCTTATATTCGTACGTAGTATACAGTTCATATATCTAAGGTACACATACCCTTACATGAAATCAAAAAGTACTCGACTGTGCTGTGTATTGTATGTTTTTGAATTCATCTCTGCATACGGTAAAATAAATAATTTGTAATTAAAAGGGTATTTGTAAGGGTTAAAATAATTTGAAAACTATTTAAAAATATTATTACATACATTTTTCCGTTACTTGAATTTAATTCATCGTAGGCAGCAAGAAATTAAAAATTCACCGTTGTGGTACACATCCACGTCGATACATGTAAATTGTAAGTAATAGTAATGCAACCATCTAAAAATACATCTTTCAAAGCTTGACTGAGCATTCAAAAATATTTCGCATCTTCCCTTTTGACATATTTTTAATTAAAATCAGTTGACTATTAACATTTAAAACAGTATGAAAGCAGTGCATTGGTGTCCAGTCAAGTAAAGCTAACTCTACCTTAAACAAAGATTTGTTCGTATTATCAATTATAAATCAAATTCAGTTTGTACATCAACAATTGAACGCCTAGAGGAGGTTGTTTTCCAAAAGCGCTTTTTAGATTGCAGTAAATAAAATACAATTAAAATGGCGACAAGAATTGTACGATCGATCAACTTGGCAAGTAATTTATCGAGAAGTTTCAAGCTGAACAGACCAGCATTGTCAGCAGTGATCAACAACATCCAGTGGTCCGGGGAACCAAACATTCTTCAGACTAGGTCTTCTATTGTGACTTCCGCTTCGACCAAAATGGACGAAGGTTCGTTAGTTGTACATTTTTTATGCTTAAGCGGTATATTTATTTTTCTTTACTAACAAAATTAGAAGAGACGCAAACTTTGTAAATTTTGACTGCAATGAGGTTGGATTATTATTAATAACTTTTGCGTTTATCACTTGCTTATTATCATTATTACTTGTATGGTAATTTTGCTGAATATCAAATCGTATTTTTCAATTAGATCCGGATTAACCAGATGTTTGTATACAAAATAAGTTGGAACTAGTAGAATAGAACTGTTTTATTTCGTCATATGTTTCTTGCTTATTATTATGTGTGTCTGTCTGGGTGAGTGTGTATGTTGCAAGCATAATTTGAGTTGCTTTTACGAAACAAATAACCTTTATTAAATTAGAAACATGTCTATTTATCGCATATTTTTATGTATATATATACACAAAACCGTTTTGCACATCAAATCTTTTATAATAAACGAATTACATTATTATCTGCATCATGTTGGAATCATTTTTCAGACAAAATGTTCTGCTTCCAATGTGAACAAACCAAACTTCGCAAGGGCTGCACCACTGTTGGCGTGTGTGGAAAAACTGCGGAGGTGGCCGAAATGCAGGACTTGCTGTGCAACTTGGTGAAAGCTGTTGGACTTTATGGACATAATTTAAAATTAGCCGGTGGAAAAGTTCCTTTTGAAATATTTGACTTCACCTTCAGTTCTCTTTTTAGGTGGTCAAACACGATTTTTGTTTTCGTGAAAAAGTTGTTATATTCGTTACTATTTTGTTATTAATTAATTGATGATGAAAATATATTTTAGTTACATTTTTCATTTCAACTTGAACTTCATTGTAGCACTCTGACCAATGTCAACTTCGATCCTAAGAGATTTGTTGAATACATCAAAAAAGCGTGCAAATATCGCAACCAGCTGCAGTTGGCGTACGAGGCAAAATGCAAAGAACAAAACATTCCTGTGAAAAACTTTAAGCATATTTCAGAAGTTTCTTGGTCGCCTAACAGAAACGGGGAAGAACAATGGACTATCGAATTCTTAACTGAAGAAGGTACATGAAAACACAATATACAACATTCAGCCATTATCGAAGCTAACTACATTCTTTGAAAATATGTAGGAAAAAAATTTGGTGTACTTAGAGAAATGAGCGATTATGGCCGTGATGTGCATGGCGTTCGTGAAATGATTGTTTATGGCTTGAAAGGAATGTCAACTTACGCCAGGCACGCTAGACTTCTAGGAGAATGGGATGATTCGATCGGAGAAGACGTCTTTGAAGTATTAAATCTTCGAAATTTTAAAAATTTTATTTTGATTGTTTATTCAGCTAGCATGTTTCGTAGCTGATCTTTAAGGGCCTAATAATTTGCTCTGCAGATACTTTCTTTTTTGATTGATGGTAACAAAGATCAGCGTCATGATTTGTCAACTAATTTATCATGGGCCTTGAAGGTTGGTGAAATCAACATGAGAGGCATGGCATTACTAGACAAAGGTCACAGGAAACGTTTTGGCGTCCCAAGCCCAGCTCAAGTTACTACTTCACCAAAACCTGGAAAAGTTAATTTTGTTGAATTTAATTACTTTGAATTAAATGATTATTTTAAAAAACAAAATATACCTAAAAAATAGATATCGATACAGTCAAATAAATGAAATAAAAACGAAACAGTGCATATTGGTGACTGGCCACGATATGAACGACATGGAGATAATCTTGAAGGAAGCCGAGAAACGAAATGTTAACGTGTTCACTCACGGGGAAATGTTGCCGGCACATGGATATCCAAACTTGCGAAAATATAAAGTAAATTATTTTCGTAAAAATTTTTTTAAGTTTAAATTAATTTAAAATTCAAGATGATTTGTTATTAAACGCTTGTCGGTTTAGGGCTTTGAAATTGACTTGAAATAAAACTGCATTTTGAGATTTTGAGGTACCTTTAAAATAATCCTACAAAACATAAATTTTGCAGAATTTATGTTTATTTTTTTAAATTTCATATTAATTTTTTCCCGCTATAAATTTTTTTTGTAAAATAATGCATTCGTTGCAACAAGGAAATTTAAATTACGTTGAAGAAATATTTGTACATTAATCCTCAAAAAGTGTCCCTAGATTAATATTTACATCATCCAGTGTGCAAGAACTATTACTTGAAAATCTAAACTTTAATAAAATTTTTTGAGAAACCAGCATTTTTCTCTGTTACATTGCACAACTTTTGTTTTTTCATTATAAATATGGTTCGGAGATATCAATCTCTCGCTTAACTGGTTATTGTGGAGCACGCAAATTTTTATTTAATTATTTTTATATTTTTATCAATACATTCGTAAAATTCGCCAACATCCACTGCTTATACCTTATAAGATGCAACGAAAGAGTTTAAATTGCAGTTCATTTTAAAATATTTGATGAAAGGAGATTTTTTTATATTCTGAAAACTCCAAAGATAAACGATATGAGACGAATGAAATGAGGAAACGTGGAAGAAAAAATAAAATGCTTTAACAATTTGTATTGATGGTTTAAATTAATTCTATTACAATAGGGTAACGAGGAAGCATAATGTGACTCAAGATAACAATTACAAGGTGCAAGTGAAACATTTTTTTTTCTACACTGACTAGTTCCATTTCGACCTCGGGGATCAAGACTATGGTTCGTTACAAAACAGCTTGAGTGAACAGGGCAGCACTAAATATTTTAGTAAAAAATAATCTTAAGAATTAAAAACAGTTTGAAATAAAAAAAACTTGAAGTAATTGTTTAGTCACAGTAAGCATTCAAAATTTTCATTTTTAGCGTATTAGAACACAACTAAGACACAAAATGTTAAGTAAAAGACAACGATGATCTCATAATTTAAACACTTGAAAATAGTGAAAATTCTCAATCAATGTAAAATTATTTTAGTAGTCAGGGTCTCGGAGGTGTAAGTCGGAAATATTTGTGAGGTCGGAGTCGGAAATTTTTCATCCGACCAAGAAGCATTAATTTGTATTCCAAAAACTCTAAAACTCGTTTTTTAGGTTATAAGTAGCAAAAAACAATAATTTTTTTAAAGTGATTTGCACAAAAGTCATTTTTTTCACCCTTACCCCTGTAATTTTAGACAAAAATATCGCAATATCGTATATATCCGATTATAAACTTTGCTTAGCAACAAGAGCGGCATTTTATATTCAATATATTTTAGTTTCATAATCATGCGATAGACGTAAGTGGCCATATAACGATGCATAAGCCTTAGCCCAGTTCAACGTTAGCTCAAGTAACATGTACCTTCTTTCAATTCTTAGACTAAAATACCAACGACATTTTTTATGGTCGGCTTCTTACTGTTTTAAAGTAAATTACATTACAGCTACTTTACTAAATTAAATAAATGTATTAATCAGAGCCTAGCAGGGCATTATGGAGGAGCCTGGCAAAATCAAAAGTATGAATTCCCTGGTTTTCCAGGTCCTATAGTGGTAACCACAAATTGCATAGTAGAACCTATGAAATCTTACAAGGACAGATTGTTTACTTTGAATGAGACAGGCTGGCCTGGCTGCAAACACATAGATCTAGAAAAAGATTTAAGGAAATTGATGGAGGCTGCAAATAACAGCGCCGGATTTACAGAAAAAGATGTGGTGTCAAACGCGAGAACACTCAAGGTTGGATTTGGACATGAGGCTATTCTCGCAAATGCTGGAAAGGTTATATTTTTTAATAATTCCAAGCAACGAAAAATTGATCAAATTGTTTTTATACACTGCAGATATTGGAATCTGTTGAAAATGGAAATCTGAAACGCGTTTTCGTAATAGGTGGATGCGATGGCTCTGAAAACAAGCGGAGTTATTTTTCAACATTGGCAAAGTGTACTCCAGGTGATTCTATTATTTTGACAATGGGATGCGCAAAATACAGATTTAATCACATGGATCTTGGCGAATTGGGAGACACAGGGATACCACGTCTCTTAGATTTAGGCCAATGCAACGATTCTTACGGAGCGGTTGTCGTAGCCCAAGCGTTGGCATCAGCATTGAAAACAGATGTCAATTCACTTCCGCTATCATTAGCGGTTTCATGGTTCGAACAAAAAGCTGTAGCCGTATTTTTGACGCTACTACATCTCGGAATTCAGAATATCAGACTTGGACCGGTGTTGCCAGCTTTTGTAACACCAACTATCCAGAAAATTTTGGAAGATAAATTCAAACTAATGTCAGTTGATGTCAAACATCCAATTGATGATTTGAAAGAGATGATGAGTGGATAAATACGATCAAAATGCCAAAACAATCGAAACGCCACGACAAAGCAAAATTGCCTTGATTTTTATGCCAGTTATTTTTTCAGATTAAAACTATGTTAACAATCTTGTAAACTAGAACTCGTAAAAACTAAATTTAGTAGTTGTTTTGTGTAGATTTTGTATAAAACTGAATGTATAGCTGTCGAGAACAAACTACATTTTTATAAGCATCATAAAATATATAATTTAATCACTCTCAAATTGTTGCTGAATGTTTAAAATATGTTGAAGTGGATGAAAATGTTAACTGAAAAGTGACAAGAAAAAATTTAAAAATGACAACTATTGAATGAATCATAAAGTCAACTTATGCAAGATTTTATTTTATCCATTTTGCCTGGCAACAATTTAACCATTTCTTCACAAGCATCTCTTTCTTCTTTAACTTTTTTTGCCGCTGATGGGTTCTTCCGACAATATTCAACTAAAAAATTATAGCAGTCTAACGAATTTTTAGTGTTTTGCAAATTTTCTTTGGGACTGGCAGTTAAAATTTTTGAAAACAGCCTTCCACAATGAAAATGAGCGATTAGCGCAGGTCTTTCGTCATCATCTTGAAATGTTTCAGGAAATGTTTTGTCATTTTTTTTCAAATAAGACAGATACAACTGAAAATATTCTATGCTTTTCTTGGCCAAAATATTTATTTTATTGTTTGCATGTCCATCGCACATTCTTGCACTTCCAGTTAATTCCAGTAACGCCAATTTATTATCAAGTATAGCAGTAAATACCTCCCCTATTTCAAAAGCCAGCTGACGGCATACATCTAAATAAAATTGTGGATTGAGCAGATGTAATATTTCAGTTAACATGTCGGCTCTTCGTTTGTGCATTTTACATTGGCGAGTTAAATCCGGTTCAAAAAAAAGAAGCAACTTGAATAAAGTGCTGTTGTCTTTAACTATATCAACATAATCTGAGCAGTGATCGTCTAAGCAGTAAAACTCTTTAGCGCTATTCAGCCATGATTGAGTTTGAAGAAACACTTGTTTGGCTTCATCAAAAACAAGAACTCTTCTGTCAGTTATCTGATTTACTGCTGATGTAGTTTCAAGATTGAAAAATTCTTTTTTGCTATTACATTCAGCTGAAGAATTTTGAATATTAGAAATTTCATCATCCTTTGACTTTTCCATTAAACTATCTCTTGAATGTTCCAACAGAACTAAACTATATTTTGACCAGCATCTAAATAAATCAGCCCAAGCTTTTGGCAACCTTTCAAGAACATTTATGGCATCTTGTCCATCTGCATTTGTGACAGGAACTTTTAAACTAGCTGGTTTTTCACCAAACTCTTTGAGAATAGTTTCAGCACTAGCAAGACAATATCTGGCAGTTGTGAAATCATAGATTGTGATATAATATTGAGAAAGGGTAGCAGCATTCATTGCCCACTCTAGAGGCTCATACTTATTCCTATCTAATTGTCTTTTTAAAGTTTCTTTGCAATACAGAGCAGAATCTATGTTTCTCTCTAATTTTCCAAAAATTTGTGCTAAATAATATAATGTGTGAGTGTAATTATCTTCAAAAATATCTATTCTCTTTGAAATAATTTCTGGACTGTTCTGTTCAGCATTAAATGAGTGTGTTTGAAAAAAGTTATCAACAGTCCATGGACAACCTCCAAAATCTTTCACAAATTTTTCATAAATTGACTTAGACTCTAATAAATATTCCAATGCTTTATCCAGTTCAGTTCTTCGAGAATATAACAGTCCTAAATGATTCAAAACTTCTTGATTAATGCCACTATTTTTTTCATAATTGTTATCACAATTGTCAATTAGCGACCTGCATCGTTTCAATTCATTTTCTCCAGCAGATAACTCATCTGTTTCAATTCTATTTATTGCAAGTTTTAGATGCAAAACTGCTAAAGCCCGTGCGACATCATCGTTATTTTGAATTTTTTGAATATTTTCAATCTTGTCAACTAACATTTCAAGAATTTTTCTAGCTTTGTAGTGTGATTGATGAGGCGATGTTACTGGATCAAATTTAGATTCTACCTCCATGAGATTCAATGCCTCAAGGTATAATTTGCCTCCTTCATCATTCAAAAAACACAAAAATTCAATACTCATCTTTTCAATTGCTTTCTTTAGTTTAGAAGTAGAAACTTTACTTTTACCTAGATGGTGAGTAAAATTTATTTTTATGCTAATTTTTTAAATATAAATATAGGTTTTATCATTTATAAATAAAATTAATTAATCTCAAACCTTTATTCAAGTTATTTATTTTTTATTTTATATGAGACTTTTACTTATATTATTATTATAAAGTATATTATTATACCTTAAAAATGAAAAAATTGATTATTTTTATCCTTTAATATAATAATTATTTATTTTTCTATAGTTTATTTATCCGTAATAACAATAATTATAAATTGCTTATCATCACAATTAAGAAAGATCTCTACGGTTAATATAAAACATTTAATTTAATTATTTAACCTAGAATTGAAATAATGCACACAATGATTCTGAACTTAGCCATGCCGACCGACCTATATATTATGCGAGGAGAAATCGCGAAAAAGAAAGGGCTACCTACTTAATACGATGCAGGTGTTCTATGTATCTTATAAAAAACTGTAAAGCTATTTAAACTGCTAAACTGATCATTGAAATGTATGTTAAGTATGTATTCTATATATTTTAGCGCGTAACTGTACGAACTATTACACAATATATAGATATGTAGATAGAAAAAAGTCGATTAAAAATATATTTTTACAACTGATATAAAATTAAATTATCTCAGTCATATTTTTAATGTTTGCTACTAAAAATACTAATAGTTTTTTTATGTAAAATGAATAAAATTACAAATCTAATTACCATAATAAAATACAAATTTACATTATTTTTATTTTTTCACTTCTATATTATGGCAACATAATTTGGCCAAATGATTCTAGTCATTTGATAAATAATTTAATAAAATGTCAAAAACGATTGCTAAGTTTGTTGTACAACCTCTCTATTTCTAAAATATTAAATATACAGCAATTAAATTTTTTGCACAACCAATATTTAAATATAAATTTTTGAGTTATCTTTTACCTGCTTATTTTAATGATTTTTTGAAGTATTTTCACATCAATAAAATTAAAAATACAAGAAAAATCCATCTTTTATTTTCATCCTGCAAAACTAAATATAGAACTCAATAGCATTTTTCACTCTACTCTTATATCAAGGAACACAATTAGAATAATAAAATCGGATTCAAGAAAGGTCTTAAAATCTTTGCTGCTAATTACAAACCATCTTAAATGATATGGTCTTTGGCTGATCAGCAATCTAATTGGGCAAATGTGTAGACCTTGTTTTCTGTTCAACTGAATTCTGTTCCGTTGTTGCTGATTGAACGAATGGTTTATATTAAATTTACATAGGCACAAATAATTTATTTTAATTTTTATTTCAAATTTTGACAACTCTAGCTAAAATTGAAAATAATGATTGATCTGTTAATTAAAACTGTTTGGTTGAGTAATAATTCTTTGTTGTTCACTGTAGCTGGGACAAACATTTTTGGAACATGTCAATAACTCAGAATTTATTTGCACCGAGGTAGCAAAAACTATTAAATATTTCAAAATCATTTTAAAAAAATTTTATTAAAAAAAATTGTATGATAATTGTATGATTTGATTTGCTAAAATTATTTTTTTTCTTAAATTTTTCTTTTTGAAAACAATGTAAAATAGTACCTATTATCTTCTGATAAAGTTGTTTTCAATTTGTTAATAAAAATCAATGTGTACGTGTGTACCTATAACATATTTTTAAGTCTTCGGGAAATCAATCATCATCTTTTTTTTCAAAGATTCATAAAAGGGGTAAACATTTTATATCTAATGTATTAATGTTAATTATGTACTAATGATAATAATAAATTCATCTGTGATAAAAATAAGATGAGTTATTGAGCAATATATATGATAATATCATTATTCATATTTCTTTACACCTGAACTAATTTAAGTATTTACCGTGTTAGAAAAAAAATGTATAACAAATTAAAACTGCTGTATTATTTTTCAATCAATCAGCATAACAAAAACGATTGTAGTCTGACTCGCCGCGTGGTTTTTTCCCGAAAGTGTAAGATTTAACAAGTAAAAGGAATTGAGTTTCTATTTATTCATTTTTATATTTTTTAAAATTTTATTACAAATGAACTTAACTTATGAAATGAAATCACTGATCTGGAAACATTTGCGATATTCAATCCTATTTATAACTCTCCAAACACCAAACACCCAAACCTTAACTGGTAACCCCTACACAAATAATGACGTCATTGTTGACATTATTTCAAGTAAAATTATTGTATTGCTTACTAATTTGTTGTTTTTCATTATTTAATCTTAAAGGCATTATGTCCATCGTGTAATTTAAATTTTTAAATGTAGGAAAGACAATAAATCGATGATACGTCCTCTCATGTGAGCACAATTTTGGTACAAATGTCAATTTTTTTTACCCTCACCCAAATTATTTTAGATTGGAATATCGCAATATCACATTAATCCGATTATCATCTTTGCTTTGAAACAGGAGTGGCATTGTATATTGATTTTATTTTAACTTTATTATCATGCATATGCCTTAGCCCAGATCAACGTTAGCTCAAGTAGCATGTACCTTCTTTCAATTCTTACACTAAAATACCAACGACATTATTTATGGTCGGTTTCATACTATTTTAAAGTAAAACACATTACACCTACATTGCTAAGGCAAATAAATTATTTATCGGAGCTTAACAGGACATCACGGAGGAGCCTGGCAAAATCAAAAATGTGAATACCTGGTCCTATAGTGGTAACCACAAAATGCATAGTAGAACCTATGAAGACTTACAGCCTTTAAATGCGCTTTAGAGTCTGGTCTTATTCTTTATTTTTCGTGAAAATTATTCATTTTGTGGCCTAGAACTGCCAAGCCAAGCTTATTTGAGATCGTCGTGCTTAACAGGCGACAGGCATTGATACAGTAAACATATATAGGACATCAACAATATATACCGTTGAAACAGCCGATAATACAGTGCTTACAAGCGTGCCGTAATAATTCAGAACTATAAATTAACGAATAACTTTGATTAACAAGGGTTTAAATTGTAAATCGATCAATCATTCAATCTATAAATCGATCGATCGATCGATCGATCGATCGATCAATCAATCAATCAATCAATCAATCAATCAATCAATCAATCAATCAATCAATCAATCAATCAATCAATTTATTAGCTTATAAAGCGCTATTTCCGTGATGTTTAACAGCGTTCCTCAATGAATTTTGCAAACAGATGGGTCTTGAGATCCGCTCTGAACATCGTAAGTGATGGAGAAATAGTCAGAAAAATAGGTAGATAGTTCCAGAGAAAAGGGCCAGAAAAAACAATAGCAGATTTAGCAAAAGAGTGTTTAACACGAGTTAAGAAGTAGTTAGAACAAGAAGACAATCGTAAACTGGGGCGTTTAGGTTCAATTAATATATCTGATAAGTACTTAGGAAATAATTTAGATTGAGACTTATACATAAATGTGCAAAATTGAAAAATTTTTTCTCTATTTTATAGGTAGCCAGTGTAAGAAAACAAGATATGGAGATATATGAAAAAGAAAGATACACTAGCAGCAGAGTTGAAAGCTTTACTTAAAGGATAGAGTGTAAATCAGGAAGACTATAGTAGAGCGAGTTACAATAATCAATCCTAGATAATCCTAACGAAGTAACAAAAAAGAGAAGAGAAGGTATATAAGTCATCAAGAAAAGGCATAAGTTTTTTTATTCTACGTATATGAAAGTAAGAACTTCTAGAAACACTATTAATCTGTGAAGAAAGAGACATACCAGAATCAAAGATAAAGCCTAGACTACGAAACTTGTGAAAAACATCAAGAGTTTTAGAATCAGGTAGGATAATAGGAGGAATAGTGATAGAGTGTTTAGATTTATTAGAATAAGTTAATTCAAATTAAGAAGGAATAAGTTTAAGACATATAGAGTCAGACCAAGCGATAATTGAAGAAAGCCATAGAGATAGATTATGAAGAACACTATTAAGATTATTAGATGGAGGAAAAGAAGTATAAATATTTAGAATCATCAGTATATAGTTGACTAGTGAAAAAAAAAAATATTAATAAAATAATACGAAGAAGTTCAGAAGTGTAAAGCATAAATAGAAGAGGGCCAAGGATAAAATCCTGAGGTAACCGGAAAGTAAGAGTGGATGAGTTAGAAGTAGAATTATTGAGAACAACAGAAGAAAAGATAGACAAGAATCAGTAATAATAAAAAAAAGATCTAGCAGCCAAAAAAAAGTATGATTAACAGTATCAAAAGCAGAGGAAAAGTCAAGAGCAAGAAGAAGAATAAGATTACTTTTGTCACTAGAGAAAAGGATATCGTTAGGTATTTAAAGTAAAGAAGTTTCAGTACCGTGAGCAGGTCTGAAACCAGATTAAGATACAGGTAGCAAGGTGTTGAAGTTTAAAAAAGATGACAATTGATTATAAACTTCTTTTTCCATTATTTTAGAGATGAAAGTAATATTAGTAAAAGGTCTATTATTAGATAAAGTGGTAGAATATAAGGATGAGTTTTTAAGAATAGGAATAACAATAGAATTCTTATAAGAAGTAGGAAATTTAGGGGTGGAAAGAGATAAATTAACTAATTTGAGAATGATAGGATAAAATATTGAAGAAAATTCTTAGAGTAAATTAGAAGGAAGTAAATCTAGAGAACAGGTTGTAGATGACATAGAATTAATAATTTTAGTAAGTTCTAGAAGATTTATTGGAGTAAATACAGAAAAAGATTCAGTAGTATGTTTATTAAAGTTATGAGGAGAAAAATTAAAATTAGATTTTCTTGAAGAAATAATTTTATTTACAAAAAAGTCATGAAACTGTTGAGCAGAAAAAGATGAGTGAGAAGATTTCTTATGAAAAAGTTTCTATAGAACAGACCACCTATTTTTAGATGTTGAAGAAAAATAGAGTGTTAATAAAATAGTTGATATTTATAATTAATTAATTCAGATTCATAGATAGAATAAAAATAGTTAGATGGATTTAACCTATAGGCTTTCTCCAGTTTTCTAAACACTTTTCTCAGCTAATACACAAGAATAGTCGAACCAAATAGCCTTACGAGAATATAGCCAATAAGTAAAAGGTTTAAGAGGAATAAGCTTATCAAGAATAGAAGTAATGTAGATATTAAAATCATAGTCAAAATCATCAACATCAGAAAATAAGGTAGTATCAAAAATAGTTTCAGTAAGAGATTGAAGAGATCTTCTGGACGCAAAACGAAGATTGAAGAGATTGAAGAAAAATATCTTTATTAAGAAAAGACCAGCATTTTTTAGAAATAGACATAGATGAATTAGATGGTAGAAAATCTAAAAAAATACAGATTCAATGAGGAGGTGATCAAAATAAGGAACAGAGCTAAGAGAGATGTTAATAGGCTTAGAAAAAGATGAAGCTATAATAATATTAATAGTGTTACCAGAAGTATTGGCAAGAAAAGAACAATATTGTGGTAAAATAGAGACAAAATATCATTAAATCTACGACAATAAGAACAAGAAAAGTTATTTAAGTGGAAGTTGAAATCATCAAAGATGTAGAAATGAATAGAAAAAAGTAGAGATTCAGCTAGTGAGTAAAATTCATCTAAAATGTAGAGAGAGGAAGAAGGAGATCGATAGATTACAGCAATATAAAAAGATAGAGAAAAAGACTTAAAAGACACAAAACATTCAAAATTTTGTATTAATTGATCTTATCATATTAAATAGTGAAAATGTATAGGTAGGTTGGATATTGGTACTTTTAAATCTAGTTTTATTATTTAAGATAATAGAATTATTATTCTTATCATTAGTATCAATTACATTAGAGTGGGATTTAATAAAGTTATTATACTTGCTATTAGTTATATTATTATAATTATTGTTACTAACTATATTTATTTTTTTGTTAGAGTTAGATTTATTGTTTTTATTATTATTATTAACCCTAAGATTAAAGTGAAAAATTCGGCGCCGAAGCCGAACTACTCTCGTCGGAGACAAAGGAGTATTAGAGAGGCTTAAAAGAAAGTCTATAGAATAAGATATAATAATATTTACAAATTATAGAAAAAGATATAGAAAAAAATATTTATAGTAAAAAAGAAGAGAACTCACTTGTTCAGAAGCAAAAAACAAGAATCCACTCAAATTACAAAACCACCGAGAAAACATGCCACCATATCACGCCAAACGTAAACCTGAATTTTCTGAATTTACTGAATCAATACTCAAATTCATTATAATGAAAATCAAACACCAGTGAAGACTTAACCATTCTTATCCCATCAATGTTTTTCAATGTTTGTTAGTAAATCAATGTTTAATTCCAATGTTGATCATCATTGTCTTATTAGTTGACGGTGATGGTTTCTAGACCATTCAATTGTACTTTAATGATTCAGTGCATAATATGCTATTGACACTTTATGTCCAAAGAGCTTATGTAAAAATTTTAATTATAAAAGTTTTTATGTTCATAAAAATAAATATTTAATTTAAAGTTAACAACGCTTAAAATTGATTTGGTTTTTGTTAAATTGAATTAGAAGTCTCTAAATTTATAAATTTAAAACATTTGCTTTTTGGTAACAATGTACAGAAAAATGTTTTCACTTTTAAAAAGTAATGCGATAATGGATTTTTGCACGGATTTTTTTTATCATGCTTATATCTATCTTGTAAATTTTTGTCGCGAATTTAAAAATATTTTTGTTAACACTTACACGGAAGATTTGCCTAAACTCAATGTCAATTTTAATTTAGTTGACCGGTTCAAACCAGAGCAATCTTTCTTGAGTGGTTTCTTCACGTTGGCTCCTTTTGTCTTGTTGGTTTATTTGCTGCTTGTCTCCTGTCGGCAGATTTTCGGCTTCCGAAGAAAATCGCACAATATTAAAAATGAAGTAGAACCGCTTTTGAAGTCTAAGAAATTAATAGTTGAAACATTGTTTAAATCTGCATATTCGGATCTCAAATCAGCACTAAATGATCTGGAAGGTCGGCATTTTTCACCTTCCTGGGTCTATTTTAAATGTTACAAAGTCTGTTGCAGCTGAGTTTAATATTCTTTAATTAACTATTTCATTTGTAATATAACCACACATATATTATATATATATATATATATATATATATATAACTTCTTAATATCATATTTTTATATTTTTGTGTAGTCTCTGGAGAAATCGCTAACTGCTTTGCAACAGTTTAGGAGTACTAAAACATTTTCAAAATCTCTTGATCTCAAGGATTTATCCTCTTTAACTGATGATAAATTTATCATCAAAAACATATCGCTTATCTTTGAAGATGTCAATGATTCATATCTAAACATTATCCATTCAAAAGATTATTCAACTGATTTTGAAGATGAAGGAAAACAGAATGCATTGTTTGTGCATGATACTACTGAATCAATACTCAAATACATTAAAATGAAAATCAAATACCAGTAAAAACTTAACCATTCCTGTTCCATCAATGTTTTTCAATGTTAGCAGATCTAATTATCATTGTTCTATTAGTCGACAGTGATGGTTTCTAGACCATGCAATTGTACTTTTAACTTTTTTGTTTCAAATTTTTATTGAAAAGTATAACTGAATTGCAAATTATAAAAATTCAAGTTAGTAAACTAAACTCCATTCGCAAATAAGTTTTTTTCTTTCACACTTTTATGTATACACAAATAAATTGAATTGTTTATTATTTTGTAATGATATTTGAAATACAGTGACTGATCGAATATTTGTCTGAGTAAAAATTGAATTTAGTCACTCATAGAGTAACATTAATCGCAAGCAATAAATTTTTTAAAAAAGATTAGAAAACTATTTAATCTGGATATTCTATTGAAATATGTAACCAAATAATTGTGATGAGATCACAGTATACACCAAAATAAGCTCAGAAATTGGTATCAACATAGTGTAAATTATGCATTGAATTCTTTTACGTGCTGGTTCAATGGTCTACAAAAATAATGTTTAAATGTAAGCCCCCACAGCAAATTTTGGGCTACGCTGCTGCAGGTTATTTAGAACAACTGCATGTCAGTGGCACGTTCATGCATTAAAATGGTCAGAAATTACACTACAAGAAAATGTTCAATGTTTGAATATGTAACTGGGCACAAATCCGGCTTCGAATACTGCTCTGCCAGATTTGGATTTGTAAATCCAGATAAATCCAGCCAGTTTTGAAAATATCATATCCGGTACAGCTCTATTAGCACTATATCTCTTTATTTATAGATTTGAAGTAGAAGTATTTGATTTGCTTGGTTTTATATAGATCTCTGTACACGTTTGAGATATAACTTAAACTTGAGGTGTAGGTACTTGTACTTTATTTAAATTTAATTTTCAGTACTTGACTTTAGTACTTGTAGTTGAGGAAAAGTATTTGAAAATATCTCTGCTTGTTTCGTCAGACGTTTGAGTGCGATACTGATGGCAAATTATCTTGGGCATAGAACGCTCTATAAATTACATATTATGATAATTTTTATTAAATTATAATTTAATATAATGTTCATTTTTTCAAACTCTTTCTCTATTATTATGCTAACGATAAAAACTGGATCGAGATAGATTCTTAAGATATTATTGTGCTCACTGTACCAATGCAGAAGATGTAGGAAAGGAATGTTTATAATTTTAATGCTGTTATCTAATTTGCAAAACAATGAGTATTGCACAATAAATAATGCAATTGAATTATATTATTGTATTTTAGTTTATTTTAAAATAATATATAATTTACCAAAGAAAACAGTTATATTCATTGCGCTTAAATGTTTTTGATGTATCTTTCCAATGAAATTATAGAGCAAAAGTTGAAAAATTTTTTTTAAAGTTGGAACCCAGAGTCGAAAAATTTATTTTCAATCAATCAATTAGTTTGTAAAGCGCAATTTACGCGAGTTTCAACAGCGCACCTCAGTGAATTTTGCGAAAGGATGGGTTTTGAGATCCGCTCCGAAATTCGTAAGTGATGGAGAAGTAGTCAAGGAAGAAGGTGGAGAATTCCAGAGAAAAGAGCCAGAATAAGCAAATTTAGCAAGAGAGTGTTTAGCACGAGTTAAGAAGTGAGATCGTAAGCCGGGGCATTTAGGTTCAATTATATCTGATAAGTACTTAAGAAATAATTTAGATCTAGACTTAAACATTAATGTCCAAATTTTAAAAAATATTCTAAATTTTATAGGTAGCAAGAAAACAAGATATAGAGATATATGAGGAAAGAAAGGGGCACGAGCAATAGAGTTAAAAGCTTTACTTAAAGGATAGAGTGTAGAATCAGTGTAGAAGACCATTGTAAGGCGAGTTACAATAATCAATCCTAGATAAAACTAAAGTAACATAAAGGAGAAGAGTAGAGTAGGATCGTCAAGAGAAGGCAAAAGTTTTTTTATTCTACGTAGATGAAAATAAGAACATCTAGCAACACTATTAATCGGAAAAGAAAAAGACATGCTAGAATGAAGATAAAGCTTAGACTACGAAACTTTTGGGAAATATCGATAATTTTAGAATCAGGTAAGATAATAGAGGGAATAATAATAGAGCGTTTAGATTTATTAAAAAAAATTAATTCAAACTTAGAAGGATTAAGCTTAAGATACAGAGTCAGACCAAGCAATAATTGAAGAAAGACTTAGAGATAGATTATGAAGAACACTATTGAGATTAGATAGAGGAAAAAAAGTATAAATGTAAGCATCAATTAGCGTATAGTTGACTAGGGAAAGAAAAATTAATAATACGTGGTAGTATAGAGTATAAATTGAAGAGGGCCAAGGATAGAACCATGAGGTTACCCCAAAAGCAAGAGTATAGGAGTTAGAAGTAGAGTTATTAAGAACAACAAAAAAAAACGATTACAGAAAAATATAAAAGGTTTGTTGAAAATTATATTTTTCAATTAATTATTCAGTAGCTTTAATTTTTACCATCATCATTAGATGAAGCAGTATCGCAGTTGTTCCAAGATACGACTGAATTATCAGCAGTACCAACACGTTGGTGGCCAGTGTCATCATTTCGTAGAAATCAATCACATGAGAAATTATCAGGATGTCGATGTCGGATGAAAAATATTCGTCTCCGACTCCTTAAAAAAATTCCGACTCCCCGAAAAACTTTGCAACCTTTGCATTATAATCTTAGCTTATTATCACTACTGAATAAAAATATTTTGAAAAACACTTAAAATCAGTCAATGTAATCGTTTTCATAAATAAAATTACATTATACGTTTTAAAACATAATGAAAAAAAACTGATTTTATTCACATTATTTTCAGTATTAAAGATGAATGCATTGCATACCGCTACACATATTTATCTTCTAAAAACACGATCTGGAAAGAACCTCAGAATGAAAATAAAAGATATTTTAAATTCATAACATTTTCCTGAGTCAGATGAAAAATATCCGAATCCGAAATAACGACTCTGACGAAATCTCCGACACTCTGGAAATTATCCAGGAGTAAGATGTATCGTTTTATTTCAATAAAGTTCAAGCAAAATGTAATGCAAGGATAAACATAAACATGTATAATATAGAATCCAATATATATTGTATATGTTTGCATGTGTGTGTAGGAGTCATTTAAGAATCCAAACATAATAGAAATGAAATGAATGAGCATAACATAATGGAATAGTAAAATATTATTGATTACATGGTTACAGGTACATAATGAATGAGAAGAACTTATAGAAGGAGTTAACATTATTATTATGATGAGAAAATAGCATAAGGCAAGACGTTAAGTCCCTGTGCCCAAATCTAAAATACAATTTACACAATATATAGCACGGAGAAGACTCACATATTTATGCATTAAATTAATTAATTTACAGTACTTTGTTCAAGATAAATAAACAAAATATGAATTAATAAGAAATCAATAATAATTATACTCGTCAGGTCATCCACACTTCGTTCGTATTTAAACCTGACAAAAAACATCCATTCTGTTCCTAAATATACTTGAATGTTCCCAATTTATCAAAAACACCCAATCATTATTCCTCAACAATCATATCAATTATTAACTGGACCAAAAAATGAGCCAGCCAGTTCGCATCACAGACAACAACTGTACATTTCAGTTGTGGCATTGCACGATAATTTTATAATTATATAATTTATAATTTAAAATAGAACCTCTCTATTCAACCAACAGTTGCAATCTATGAAAGTTCACTTCGTAGTTATACTTTCAACATAATCAGCAAAATAAGTTTATTAAACAATTAAAATTTGGAAAATAACCATCATTCGCTACACGTAACTCGTCTTAACAAAAAATAAAATAAATAAAAGTTTAAGTGTCGCTTAAAAATAATTTGAGAAACATTTGATCGTAACATGTCTGTTATTATTATGAAATGTTATGTTGGTATTACGCCTAATAGAACTAGTACATTGGTGGTCGCCATCCAAACCTTTTCGTAATAAATTCATGGCATCTAAAGCACAATCTACATCATAAATCAAAGCACTCACAAATAAAAGTACAATGATAACAGGATAAGACATGATAGGAAGGGTTCATAATATATGTAATATATAACATATGTAAAAGAGTAGCTTTTCAATGTTTAAAATCATTGTAAATAAAATTTTAAAAATATATATTGTTCGTTAATAAATATTTAAAAAAATGATTAATAAAATTTATAAAATTTTGCAACAGTATGGTTCCTCGTCAACGTTAAACGAAACACTGATTGAATCTTAAAATAAAAGAAGCAACGTTTGAATCTTAAAATGAAAGAAGCAACGCTATAAAAAGAATAAAAATTTGATGAAAGGCCAAACTATAAAATGTAGATAAAACGTTATTAAACAAAATATTAATTCAATGCATTACAATTCATGCAACGAAGAGCAAACTATTGATTAGTAAGCCATAAGATTTCGGTTGTTCGACGTGGAGATGATCAAACTGCCGCTGTTTATAGGGGTGTCCTTGTCTTTCTTGCTGGTCAGAGCCAATTCTTGAATCTGATTTCGAATTAATAAAAAGGAAAGAGAGATGAAAGATCGTTGATATGAAAAAGGGGTTACATACACCTCGCAAACTCTCCCATACACCGTGCACGGGATGCGGTGTTAGCGAGCATACGAAATGCGTGAGGAGTTATGGAAGGCAGAAAGCAACTAAAAAAGAAAACATGGAAAAAACTCTACTTTTAAAAATTATCTTAAAAACATTATGGAAAAATTTCAAAAGTAACACATAACAAAATTATATTTTCAAAAAATTCAACTTACACACATACACATACACACACACACACACACACACACACACACACACACACACACACACACACACACACACACACACACACACACACACACATTAGAAAGCAAGCGCGGAAACAACATGAAATGTGGTGGCTAATGGTAACAATGTTAATGAAATAGAAAACAAACAACTGAGTGACCTGGTTTTCAATCATCTGTGGATGCCTCAGTGACACACGACCTATGAAATCATCCATAACAAGACTCTTGTGCCATACCTGAGTCATTTGTAAGGTGTTTATAAACAAATCAGTCAATCAATCAATCAACCAATCAATCAACCAATCAATCAACCAATCAATCAATCAATCAATCAGGTCAGTCAGTCAGGTCAGTCAGTCAGTCAGTCAGTCAGTCAGTCAGTCAGTCAGTCAGTCAGTCAGTCAGTCAGTCAGTCAGTCAGTCAGTCAGTCAGTCAGTCAGTCAGTCAGTCAGTCAGTCAGTCAGTCAGTCAGTCAGTCAGTCAGTCAGTCAGTCAGTCAGTCAGTCAGTCAGTCAGTCAGTCAGTCAGTCAGTCAGTCAGTCAGTCAGTCAGTCAGTCAGTCAGTCAGTCAGTCAGTCAGTCAGTCAGTCAGTCAGTCAATTAATCAATCAGGACAAAAAAGATTTTATTCCATCTCTAATGCTTACGCTTTTATGGGGTAAACTTCAATGAACCAAATTAAACAAAAAAAAAACAAATTCAAACGTCAATGTTGATCGGCTTGCTCTCAGGAGATCTTCTGTAGAATATGACTGAAAAGTTCATTTCCGGGTTAGAGGTCTGCTTGATGGGGGCACTGGACACCTTCTCGCCCTCACATGTGATAATCAAGTAAGCGTTCACGTCTTCTGCTCGTATGCCGTTCGTTGAAAAAGTATCATACACAACCATTTTACTAATTTTAGTTATTTGCGGATGCAATCAGTGGCAGATCTAGAAAAAACCAGGGGACCATGGCCCCAGTTGTTAGCAGTATTTGTAAAAAAAAGTCAGTAAAACTCAGTTTTTTGCACAGAAAAAGCACCGTTTTATGTAGAAAATACGCCACAAAATGACGTGCTAAGCCAAAAAAGGTCGCCCGTTTAATTTTGCCTACATGATTACAAATTTTGGCACCCAGTCAGTCGTTTAGATCCACCAGATGGATGAAAAAATTATATTTATAGTGATGATACTTGTAATGACATTGATTGATATGATATTCAACGAATAAACCAATTGACAAGCGCAACTAAAACAACAGCAACGACAACAACTGCAAGAACATAAACGATTTTAACTGCACTACGGAGCACTTTCGAAGTACTCCGCATTGCATCAACTATGCCGCAGTGCAGTGTTATTTTGTTTTGAGGTGCGTCGCGGTAAACACTTCCCAGTGCATTTGCGCTTTCTAGTGCACGTCGAGTCGTTTATTCATATGAACATTTCGTTTTTTAGAATTTCTGTCTACTTAAAAAGCACACCACACAAAAACACACCACACAACAACACACCACACCACACAACAACACACCACACAACATCATATAACACAATACAACACAACTTATAACATGTAACACAAAGCATGTCAGTGTAATACGTCAACACAACGAATGAAGGTAACATAGAAATAAAAAAGAATCATGCAATAACGCCACAGATATTATATATATGTTGGTAAAAGATCATAATTTTTACAATATTCTATAAATTCTACAGAATGTTTGGCTTTAACTACAAACATATTAACGCCAAACATTCGGTAGAATTTATAAAATATTGTATATATATATATATATATATATATATATATATATATATATATATATATATATATATAAGTGCAACAAGTGAAAGAAACCTACGGGGCTCGTTGTTGTTCTTCCTGGACAGATTGACCCCTCTGATGACCTTCAATCTGGTGACCACTTCCGGCAACTTGCCCATCGGCAAACATGGACACATCCCGACTGTTGGTTTGTCCAATTCTAACAAACTGTCACCGAGTGAAATTTTGGATGGTTGAACTATTATAATAATTGTACGGTGTACAAGTCTTGTTGACAGAAAATTACGACAGTGATATCAATAATAATATTAATAACGATAATTGTTGTTGCTCACTTTCATTGTGAAGACGCTGATTTGTTTTTCGAACGTTTTTCGATTAAAAATCAAATAGTTTTAGAGGCAATTTTATTAAAAATTCATTTAAATAACGTTATAAATTAATATTGAGAGTTTAGTAGCTGAAAAATGCCAAGACGTACAGAATATAAAGTGTGATATTGACGGAGAGAAGTGAAACTAAAGAACTTATTTCAACAGGGGAGAAAAACTCAATTCACAAAAATTAGTGAAGTTTTATCAGAAATTAAAAATGTTCAAGATAAATCAAAACATTTCAAGACATTTTCAAAAAGCAAGAAACACAGACGAGACAATTAAATGAAAAAAAAATGAAAAAACTTTGTAATGGATCAGAAAAACAATGAAGTTAGAAAATGGCTGGATTTGTTTGTATACAAAGTCGAAATATTGACTAGTTTGAAAAATACTCAAAACTCAGTTATAAACGCGAAAAATAAAAATATTAACAAATGATAGACGAGGAAAAAAAACAATGTTGTAGTGTACAAATTAACTGAGAATGACCAAAATAGTAAGTCAAAAGGTAAGGGTTAAATTTTTAAAATGTCAAACCAAGAAATGAAACAAAGATATAGAAATAGTTAAAAAAGGGCCTCAGAAGATTATAAACAGGTAATTTGGGCATATCAATTAGCAAGTTTAGTAAAACAGGAGTGTATAATTCAAAACACTTACAAAATATGGAAAAACAAAAATCCTGGTGTTTTCTAAAATATGAATAAAACAAAAAAGTAAGATTTATCATAAAAGACTAAAAAATTAACTGCAGCTGAAATAGAAAATATAATTACTGAAGTAACTTCAAAAAATAAATTTCAAGGTAATTTAATTGATGCATCAGATGATCCAACAAGTTCAAGATTGAAATCGGAAACTGAAATCCTTTTGATAGCAGTGCAAGAACAGGCACTAAACATGACATATTTCCAGCAAAAAATATTTAAACAGAATGTTGATGGTCTCATCTTGAAAGCATCAGCAATGTCGTGTCGGATGTTTTGTACTGGCACCGACAGAATATATAAAGAGGCACAACAGAGTTGCAAACTAAATACAGTGAATGATAAACAGATATGTTGGATTGGAAAAAATTGTAGAATACTATAAGCCCAAATAATGTAACAAATCAAAATTTTAAGGAACACGCCAGTTGTAAGATAACAAAAATGTGGCACCCAGAATCTGTTATCCTTAGAGTAGTGGGGGCTTTAAGAGTAGTTTCTAAAAATCTAGAAAAAAAATTTGAAAAATCTTCAAAAGACCGGCTTTGACTGACATTTAAAAAATATCATTATTAAGGACAAGAAGAGTTCTCGGATGAATCTCTGTAAGATCTTGTTTAACCCTATATTCGTCGGCGACTAGCGTTTTATTATTAATATTCGCGCTCGGTTATCCGCTATAATGAATCTATTTTGAGTACGCACCCCTGCATCTTATCATCATTCAATTACGTACAATAAAACTGCAATCAGATAGATATCGAGCAAGTAAATAATTTTTCAGCAGACCAACTAGCAACAAGTTGTGAAATAGGTGAATATTTACTCCTATAAAACAGTTATAATAATGATAACTTTAATAATAATAAAAATAACAATAATAAATATAATAATAATATTATTAAAACATAATAAAAATAATATTAAACAATTAATAATAATAAAAATTAATCTTCAAATATTGTATAAACTCGTAAATGATGTTCACTAGCAGGAAAAAATTTAACGAACACAAATGACTGCACCATATTTACTTGTTACTTACTTACTTACTTGCTCACTGAAAATTAGATTTTAAACGGAAACAACACAACGGAACAACATTCATATAAACGCTGTTATAACCCAATTACCAGAATACGCAAACACATTTAAGAAGCATGAAAATCATCCACCAAGCCCTAACATAACAATGAAGAACCATGCCGACGATTCATTTCAACTGGAGACGCACTGAATGTTCGGTTGGTAAAATTTGACATTCGACCAAATAGCCGAACGTTACAATTTTTGTATAAACTATCACTGTTATGGATTCCAGGACAATAATTGATGATTTTTATTAGCGGAAATTTATTTTTATCCATCACAACTGTTAATAAATTTAAACAAGTAATTGAATATAATTTCGTTTAAGAATTGATAAACACGATTCGCATGCTGTTTTTTCTATAACATGTTTTTCACTCTAAAAAGAATTTTATTTTTAAAATTACTATTACGGGTACTTTGGTCTGTTAAAAGTTACGACCGAACTCGATGTTTCTTCTCAAATGAAACTACAAATATTAAGAAGATTCATTCCATCACAATTGAAGTTCGAACTACGAAGTTATAGTTTTTCACTGACGTGGATTGCCAACAATTTGGACAATCTAGTTGTCGAAGCTGCCAGAAGTTGGCTATCAATACCAATTAGTGGCTGTGTGTCTAAGATACTGGGTCTACCTTTAAAGTTTGGTGGTCACAATATTGTTTCACTCAAGGACACAGCGTTGAGAATGAGATTAAAACTCCGCAATTATTTCAAGACAAACTCAAATAATGAAATACGTTGTCTCTGGCGTGAAACTGCGGTAGACTACAAAATGGTGGATAATTTGCTATCTGATTCAGCCACGTCATCTCAGTCTCTAAAAAAATTGAAAGATGGTCTTACGTCCAATACATAACAATCTTATTGAATGTACATCATCCTTGTATAGGTACACGTAGGTACTGCGTACAGTGCACGCTTGTATGTAAACACGTGCACATCTACGTGTTTGTATACTTGTAGTAAATTCAATGTACGTATTAAAAGAATTTGCGTATTAATTAATAATTATAAAATTAAACGTAGGTATATTAGCGGGAGTGTGGCATGCTTCTAGTTCAATGTGAATAGATTTTGACACATATACGGATGTGCATTTGTTTTCACGCACACACGCACACAAATTATACATTTTCGTCATTTTCAATGCGATCACGCACATATACACGCAAGCGTCATCTTATATATTATCATCATTTTCAGCTGGAACACGGCTTATGTCGTGAATGTTTTTTAATGTTTCCAGCAAACAAAAGAGGAACGAAGTTCGAAAAAACGTCACACACACAACACACACTCCTTATAAAAACAAATGAATATTTTTTTTTATAGTTTCTGATTGCATGCTGACATCATGACATTTCTATAAAACGTGCGCATTAAATCTAGACAGACTATATGCCCAACTAAGCAATTGACAGCAAGGAGCTGGAAACAACAACCACAGTAACATAGCAAGCGACAACATCAACAGAAAAACAACAAAATGTAGAGAGTGCGTGCATTGTACATTTGCATGTTGCAGTGTTTATAATTTGAAGGCCTATTCATGATTATCCTGATTTATCAGCATATTATTTGTTGAGAAGGAAATAATGGCCACCTACCGACCTGCCTACCTACCCACCTACCACCTACCTACCTCTCTAGCTTCCTACCTACCTGTCTACCTACATACATGTTTACTGGATGTTAGTTATTAGTTATTTGTGATTCATTATTTGCATACATGCCACGTGATATACAATTAACATTCTGAAATGTTCAAACGAACAAAGGTATCATTGATATATTTGCAGAAAGCTCGATGAAGAACTAAAGGATTGAATTGGACACCATTTATTTGAAATGATTAAAACTCTTACATCAAAATCATAGACCTAATTGTATTTTAATGATCCTACCCATCAACCAGCCAACATTCAAGGAATGAGACTGACGAACGTATGACGGCTTATATTGTTTCGATGAAATTTTCAATGCCAGATAGTAGCATTCTATCAAAACATATCCACATGTTTGTACTCTTCATAAACAGAGCCAGCTTGCAATCAATGTCGGAAAAGTCAGGTTGCCATGCCGGTGTGTATGCATGCAACAAAGTTTTGTTATTTAGGTTAAGATTGATTTTTCAAACAAAGTTGTTAAACATTTTTTGAAACAAAAATTTACAAATTCTTATTACTACAACTACAACAACAACAACTACTACTACGAATTCCAACTCTGATGGAGGTAGTACAGCTCACAAAATCATTTCTACTCATTTTATTAAAAATTAAATTTGTGCAACACGATGACTGCGGCGTCTAGAACCAAATGGACATTTGCTTGGACGGGTCAGTGATGGGTGTGTTAGTTTCTCAAATTCGGACTCGAATAATTATTTTTAAAACATTCAAGTGACTAAATAATAAACTAAAAAAAAATTACCATACGGAAATCGAAACGCGTATAAAACATAACGTTAAGTAATCAAAATGGAAACATGCATGCTTTAAAGCTTTAAATGGCATCACGTCTTTATTTTACGCAAAATTGGCAAAATATCCTCTTCTAAAAAGTAAAATAATTACGAACATAATTTGGCAACTTTTATTAGAAATTAATTTTTTTCTAAGAAGTTAGGAATATTTCAAATTTATAAAACTTAATGTCTGAAATTTGTACAAAAGAACAGTCATAGCAAATGAAATAGAAACTGACATTGAAAATTTTATGATATTTTAGAGTTAGCTTGTGTTAAGTTGATAAAAAAATTTTAATTAATGGTGGATAAACTCAAATGGTGGCTTTTTCTGGCCATTTATTATGAAACATCTAACTTCACCACCAACTATTTTCCAATTTGTTTGTGAAATGCACTGAGGAGCGTGGTTGAAAATCGCTGAAACAGAGCCTAAAAAATTGATTGATTGAATAACTGATTGATTGATCAAACATGTTAACAAAGTTAAAACCAGGAACTAGTGAGATTTGTTTCATCAGATTGAAATATAAAAGCACTTTGAATGTATAGATTAAACAAAAATTAATAAAAATACCAAAGTAAATTATCTAAAACTATTCACAATCGATCAATTATTTGTCGTAATGAAATAAAACTTTGTTATAATTTAACACCTGTGACATTGTTAAAATGCTAACAACAATTTCACTTTAGCACTCAATTCATTTTGTTTAATCGCTAATTAAAGTAGGTTTCTTGTAACGATATCGCATCATCCGTTTTTGATTTATTCTAATCCTTTGTTGCTATTAATTCTTTATGATGTTATTTAGAACTATTCACAATCGATCAATTATTTGATAAAATAAAACTTTGTTATAATTTAACACCTGTGTCATTGTTAAAATGCTAACAATAATTTCACTTTAGCACTCAATTCACTTTTTTTAATCGCTAATTAAAGTAGGTTTCTTGTAACGATATCTCATCATCCGTTTTTGATTTATTCTAATCCTTTGTTGCTATTATTTTTTTATGATGTTAAGACTGTTTGTATATATAGCATGGTGTTGATGCATTCACAAATAAATCTTGGAGATAATATTCATTTGAGCATCTCTTTCCACTATTTCAAAACATCGTGTGTACAGTGAAATGGCTGCAATAGTCAGAATCAAAAGGAAACGTGAAGAAGATCCAATTGAATCATTAGTATTTGTTTGCAAAAAAGCGAAGAAATGCTATAATGGTGATGAGGAACTATATAAAATTGAGAATAAGTTCAAGTTCGCTGGAACAGTTCATCAGCCTAATGTAAGTATCAGTTAAATATTTTCTTTCCCATTCGTTTATTTCGTTCAGTGTTACTCATTTGGTTTGCTTCTATTAAATTTTGTAAATTAGTTTTTCAATTTTAACTCGTTTTGTATTTCAGGATTCCCTCATCCATCAAACTGTCAAAACTGCAATAAGACAGTGTAAACTGGAAAATGAGAGGAAAAGACACTGTGATATGGCTGACGATACCAAACCTAGTAAGAAAAGAAAGATATCTCTTCATAAAGGATATCAAATTATTGGAAAAAAGACAGCCAAAACATTTGATTCGTTGGCCAATTCGGAATGTAATTCGGCAGATGCAAACCCAAAATTTTTCATCTTCAATGTGGAAAAAATTGATCAGCCTCAGAAAAAGAAATCAAGAAATTGTCCAAAAAGAGACGCTGATGAGAAACAGAAGGAGATCAATTTCGTTTATGACGTCTTCTACATAAACGACTACAAATTTGATTTCTCGCTGTTTCAAAATGTTCAACACGTTGAAGCATACAAACAATGTGATGATGTTGAATATCTGGCAGAGGAGGAAGAAGATGAAGAGGCTTATGAAGAGGATGACAACGAAGATTTTGAAAACAACTGGCGGAACGACTACCCCGATGAATCATCCTGGTTCTACAATGCGGATCATAATTTCAGCTGCTATGACTACGTCCGAGATTATGAATGAAACATAAACAGATTCAATCATTTTACTGGATATTTTGTCTTTGTCTTGGGCTGAAATAATTTTTCGTTTTATGAATAAATTTTATAAATGCAGTTAATATAATATTTTAACTTGAATTAAATGTGGTTTCAATATTGAATTAAATTATTTTGCCGCTTCTAATCGCAGTGTTCATGATCGCTTGAAATGAAGCCACCTTGTTAACACGGCAACGCCCATGGTAATAATATTTGCATTGATTTAAAATAATGCTAAAATTAAAGTCTAAATTAAACAATCCATCTATTAAAACTTCACTGAAAACATGCATAAGTAAAAAAAGAAAAAATATAACAGCACATAGAAGACAAAGCAAGCAGGACAAATGCCTATTTAATTTTCATAACATTCTCTTAAACCCTTTTATGGAAGAACGTTTCGATGCTGATTTATAATGATAGCGACTTAGTACTACTACACTACTGCCGCTACTACTACTACTACTGCTGCTGCAACTTGCATAACAGTAAAGAAAACATATTAATATTACCGTTATTACTATTATTTATTTGTATTATTGTAAATTTGATTTTATTATTACTATTATTAGTAGTATAATTTTCGTTTTATTGCTAGCGTAAGATTTGATGGTCCACATTGTTGCTGTAAAAAGTATTGACATGATGGTCGTTACTTCTACAACTACACGTATGTATGTAATATTTATTATTATTATTATTCTTGGTATTTATTTTTTTCTTCTACTTTTTCTTCTACTTCTTTTCTTCTTCTTACTATTCTACTTCTTCTTCTTCTTCTTCTACTACTTCTTTTTTTCTTCTTCTTCACATTTGTATGATTGTTTTTTATTTTTTATCTAATTCGATATTTTTCGAAAGTTGTGAATCAATGGAACGTTGTACAATCAAATCTATTCAATTGCTCTCTAGCTATTTATTTTTTTATAGTTAAAAACTAAAAAATTTATTTATTAATTTGATAAAACTATTGATCGATCGATTGATTAATTAATTAATTAGTTAATTAATTGATTTATAAATTAATTAACAGAGAAGATGCACACGTACGTAATAAATACGCCTTGGAACCATTCAAAATACCTGCTGGCGTCTACAAACAAACTGCTGACACAATGACAACACACAAAAAAGAATTTTAAATACATAAAACATATATATAAATATATATATATATATATATATATATATATATATAATTGCATATACACACAAACACATACATATACACAATACATACACACACACATACATAAACATATGCATGTACACATACGCGCGCACACGCACACACAAAACTATTATAGCGTAACTGCTTTCTCTTTTCTTACGTAACTCAAAATATCATTGACAACGGCGAAGACAATAGCAGTGAATTACTTAAATTGTGAATTAATGCACCATGCCCGCTTTGCTCCTTCTAGGCGGGAACCACTTTCTTTCAAATTAAACACGACCACTGCAAGACAGATGCGTCATTTTTAATCGCCACATCTTCTATCGCGCGCCACACATGTTTTTGTGCCTCTTCTCCGTTTGTTTGTATGGATGTGGCGGTATGTTTGTTGAGTTTGTATTGTCTAGTGGTCTTTTTGTATGTATGTATGAATATATTAAATACATTTAAGCCAGTGAATGTTTGTTTGTTTGTTTGCCTCTCTTCATCATGATAATTAGTGTGCTGGTGATGATGTTAGGAAAGTAAGTTTATGATGTGATAATGACGACGACGATTACGATGCTAATGATTTAAAAAAATAGAGTGACAATGAAATTATGCTATTCATCCCATCATAATCATGTTGATGACAATGATTTCACGAGATGCTAACAATGTGTATATATCTGCATGTATTTATTTTTTTCTTTCAAACAAATATTTTTCAACTTCTTTCAATTTAATTCTGCGCTGGAAATGAGAATTAAACTCCGAAACTATTTTAAAACAAGTGCGAATTCAGAAATTCGATGTCTTTGAATAAAGACGGCAATAGATTACAAAAAGGCGGACACCTTGCTTTCAGAATCGGTCTCAGCATCCCAGTCACTGAAAAGTTTTGAAAAAAACTGAATAGATGCCTGTTGGAATCATATTATTTCTCTGCAAAGTCAAGGTGCTCTTATCAAATCGGTAACAGCGACAATATCTCCATCTCAAATAACACATTGGTCTAAGAAGTTAGATACGCTTCCCGAAACGCTCTACAAGTTTGCGAGAAAGTATGTTGTTCAACAGCTACCGACAAACGCAAATCTCCACAGATGGGGAAAAACACAAGATGCTCTTGTCTCCTTTGTGGTGCGCAGCAAACAAACAAACATGTAATGTCCAATTGTGGGTCGGTGGCGGCCCTGTCAAGATATACTGAGAGACAACAAAATTCTATCAGCGATATTTAACTGATTGATATCATGTTGTTCTACAGACTGCCTAATATTCGCGGATATAGTATCGACCAGAGTCCTACCAATGTCATAGCTGTTCAACACTCTCCGACTGGACATTGCCATTCTACGCGACCAAAAGATAGAAGTAGTCGAACTAACAGTGTGCCACGATCCAGTTCAAAACCTACAAACAATCAAAGTACAGCAATAGCTTAAAATCATGCTTGAACGCCAACTATAAAAATTATTCTATTTTATTGAAAACATTTGAAGTTACTCCGATTGGATTTTTTAATACTTTTAATTTGACATTAATTAAAACTAATTGGCCTATATCATTAACTGATAAAATAATTGACTTAGTTATTAAAGCGTAGTATGCCATTTAATGCGAAAGGAAAACTGTATAACCATTTTTAAATAAACTACTTCGAGCACTTATCCTAGATAATGAGCATCTGTGGTTTTATTATACTGTACAATGAAATTTTATTTTATTTTATTTAATTTTCCCTATTGATTTTAAGAGTTTTAATTATTATTATCATCGCAGTGGTTCTTCTTGCTTCTTGGGATGATGTTCTAATCACAAAGAATATTTGCGCAGTAGGTTGTGGCGTTGGTATCTACAGTGTTGGCACTGTTGTTGTTGTTATTGTTGATGTTGTTGGTGTTGTTGATGTTGTGGTTAAGGTTGCCACTATTAGTATGATTGTTGTTTACATCATCACTGTTGTTGGTGATAACATTGTTATCATTATTGCTGTTGTCGTAATTGTTGTTGTTATAATTATGATGATTTTTGTTTTTATTTAGTAGTCTATTTGAAGGTAGAATGTTGTTTGACTGTACTTGAATGTTCACGGAGGGATTTTTGTTTTGTATGAAAATTGATTCAGCTATTTTCAGGTTTGTGATGTTGTTATTGCAATAAACTATTTGCGTGTTATTTAACATTTGTCGTGTTAAAGTGATGTTATGCTGTTGTTGATAATGTTGTTTTATTGCTCCATCTTGTAGATGCATGGTCAAACGTCTTGACAATGGGGTAGTTGTCATTCCAATATATGAAGCATTGTTGCGGTGCGAACATTCACCGACGGAGCATTTATATTCATATATTAGATGACTTTGTTGAAGTTGAGTGGTTGCAGGAAGGCAATTATTTTTCATGACTAGCTGGATGTTTTTAAATTTTGATAGTAAATTCGAAGAACAACTTTATTAATTGGATTTGACGCTACTACGTTTCTGCATATCATTCCTTTCCAAATTCTTTCATCTTCTTTATACGCCATTGAAAAGGTATTTTTGTTATAAAATATTATCTTATTTTTGTCATTCATTTTGTCGTTGATTTGGTTTCCAATAATACGGCTGTTGCTGTTGTTGTTATTACTGTTTGTGGTGAGGCTTGTGATGCTGTTATTATCAAAGTTATTAGACGTGTTGGAGGGGTTGCCATTATCTTCTTGTTCATTGCTGTTTGGAACGTTGTTGATAATTGCATTATTTTGATGTATATTTTGTGCATTTTCATGATATTTTTTGTTTAATCTATTTATGACTTGATCAATTTGTTTCAAAGAGTAATTATTGTTCACAAGAAGTTTTTTTATTCTTAATAATTCTGAGTTGATGAGTGTATAATCAGAGCAATGTTGAAGCGCTCTGTTAACTAGAGAAAACATAACGCTATTTTTATATTGTTCTGAGGTCTCGCTTTTACCATAAAGACAAAATCCCAAGTGTCTTTTACATAAACTTGCGTTTGAAAACCAATGTCATTTCCGGTTATCAAGACATCCAAAAATGGTAGTTGTTTATTATTTTCAATTTCATGGGTAAAGGAAAGAACTGAGTTGGATTTAAATTCATCCATTAGGTCCATCAAGTTGTTTTCATTTTCTACTATAATGAACGTATCATCGACATATCTTACATACATTTCGGGTTTGAAATGTGGTTTCTTTTGGAAAACAGTTTTTCTAAATATCCCATGTAGAAGTTTGCAAACATGCCCATGGCTACACCATTGACCTGCTGATACATTTTTCCATCCGGAAGTATAGAAAGGAGCTTCTTTTGTGCAGATTTGAAGTAACTGTTTTATCAGATGAGGTTTAATTTTTAGTGAATTCATAGCACTATTATATATAGTTTAAAATAATATCTATCGTGGCATCAACAGGAAGGTTAGTGAAAAGAGATTCCACATTTATTGATGATATGATGCCTGATCATGATCTAGTTTTTAGGATGTGAATAAATTCTGATGATGAAGAAATGCAATGTTCATTTGGAATATATAGAGTTAGGATGTTGTTGAGCCATTTTGCTACATTATATGTGACTGTTGGTATTTGACTAATTATTGGACGAAGTGGGTCGCCAGTTTTGTGAATTTTGACAGTACCATACATATAACCTGGTCTGTAGTCTCCAGTTAATAGCGGTATTATATATATATATATATATATATATATATATATATATATATATATATATATATATATACACATTAATTTTTCAAGTTTTATAATTAAAATTTTTATTATAATTATTTAATTTATTTTGTTGATTTACTTTATAGTCGTTTTCTCAGCAGTTTTTAATATATATATATATATATATATATATATATATACACAAACATTAATTTTTCAAGTTTTATAATTAAAATTTTTATTATAATTATTTAATTTATTTTGTTGATTTACTTTATGGTCGTTTTCTTAGCAATTTTTAAAATTTTAATTTTAATTTATTTTGTTTAATTCTAATATATATCTATGTAAATAATTTAAAGTTAATTTTACCAACATGTTAAATATATAGTATATAATAATTAATAATAATATTTTCAAAAATGTTTCGCGCTTAAAATTAAGTTATACTGTATGACGTCATTTGTTTATAAACGGTAATTTTCGTTATTATTTAAAAATATTTTGCACTGACGATGATATATTTTATATCGAAAAAGCTTTTCGCAATTATTTATATTAATAAACATGAACAATAAAAATTTTAGTTTTTTACTTAATAAATTAAATAATTAGAATAAAATTTTAATTAGAAAACTTGAAAAATCAATGTATAAACATAATAATTGTATTAACGCGGTTGATTTTCTTGAAAACTGTATATATATATATATATATATATATATATATACATGATATACATTTGATATATATATATATATATATATATATATCAAATGTTTCCCTACTAAATGTCGTCAGCATTATATTATGATAATATTATTGTTCTCCCAACCACAGACATGTTCCCCACACAACCACACATTCAATCTTTCCTACAGAACAAAGCGTGAAGCAATCAATTGTAAGACTGAGTACAAATTTTTGTGTACAGTTTAATTGACATTTCAATACTTTCATTTACATAACCAAAAATATAACAAAAACATAATAATGATAATAATAAACCACTTATTGATAACAACAGCCTCAGCAGCAATAATGATGATGATGATGATAATAATAATAATAATAATAATAATAATAATAATAATAATAATACGAAAGATCTCTACAGTGAAAGAATAGTTCACATTCAGAAGCCTTACAATTTTTTACTTCAGAAAACTGATCAGAGCATGTTTGCAGGGCGTGAATGAACGATATATCGTATCATGTTACATACTATCATCACGCATTTTATTACACCATATCATCGTTTAATGTCACTGTACAACACATCCGATTACATCCTAATATTTCATATGATGTCGTGCACCTTACACTGTTCAATTGTTCATACGCACATCATGTGTCAGATTATTATCCGGCCCTTATTGTGCAGTTCTTATGAACGCAGAATCATTCCTAGTTAGTTATAGTAAGACCTTAGTAGTGCTACAAAAGCTATAACATTCAAATCACAATCAAATATCAGATCTTGCGCACAATGTGTTGAGAGTTTTTGAGTTTTGAAGAGACGGCATTCCAACCGGCCAGGATGGCACACCACAACAACGCGTCATTAGCATCTTTAAGATTACAAAATAAAGTAAGCGATAAAGTAAATATTAGATTCCAGAAGGTTAGCTATCACGCCGGTGAAATTTGGTAGGTAAATCAAAAGAATAAAAAAATAAAATAAATAAATCAGAAAATGCGGTCAACATTAATTATGAATAAAAATTTGATAATGTTCTATAAGCAGTGAATCGCTGTAAATTAAAGAACTGTGTATGAAAAGTCGATAATTTACAAAATGTAGTAATAAGTAAACATTTAAAATTATTTAAAGACATTATTGACTGACGTACAGAGCTCTTGCGTTGCATCCGAGGAAGAACCTCATAAGGAAGGCACCTGTCTGACCGGGATCGAACTTGCACGAAACGACAACGTAGCGTCCACGCTCCAACTTCCTCCTCAGTAGGACGCTGCGACTGTTGCGGAAGACTGACGACTGAATCACCTGCCACAATGAAATGTGAAGAAGTGATGAAGACGGTATGTTGGTGGTGATGATTGTGACAATGATGATGATTATATAACAAAAAGATGATGACAATGATGATATATTTAACGCATAGAATATAATATGACAGTAAGGTAATGAGAATACAATGATTTGATGGTTTGCGCACAACATAACAACGTATTGTGACAGTAAGATGATTAAAATTCAATGATAACGTAAGCGGCTTAAAAGTGAGTACAATAAAAATGGCTTCATAATGAAATGACAAAATAAAAAATATCAGAAAGTCGTCCGGCAAACATGAAACAGCTAACCGTTGTGATTGTGTGCAGTCGAAATCTCCTGTTCTCTTCAACCTGAATTTCGATATGTCAACTTTGTTTTTGTGATGTTGGACGGAGATCATACATAAGTTATTAAATTTATTTTTTAGAGACTCACCTCATAACTTATTTTTTACAACATTAAGAAATGGTTTCATTTCGCAAAATCTGTACAAATCAATTTTTGTACAAAACTGTAATTTATTCAAACAAACGTTAAAATATTACGTAAAGTATTCTATTTTAATATATCTACAGCAACTTTTTTTAATAGTTTTCCATTTTATTTTGCTCTAGCGAAATTGGAGATCCGAAAAAGATGCACATGCCCTAACTTTAAATTAACTCTTTCGTGTCGTCAAAATAATGGTCGCACTGTAATGGAAGGTTGAAAATAACGGTCTAACCAAAATATTTCATCTTTCATTTAAAAATCTAATAAAGCACGTTCATTTTTGATTCAATGCAACGTATTTTTCTCGGCTTTGTTCATGGTCAAAAAAGTTTTATCATAATAATTGTTTTCTTTCGTTAGTTTACATAAATTTAAGATACACGTCATATATGATATTCTTCTTTAAACTTCTTTCAACAAACTGTGCCTCTCATGATTTTATTTATTCCATTCATTAGCTTATTTGAAAATACAAAGTTTTCAATATTCAGGTGGGTCTTTTATGGATTGATGAGTTCAAACATGTGCCTTCAAAATGAAACAGAAAAGGGGAACCTTAAGGATGGTGAATCCAATGACGGATCTCTCAGCATTCTTCTCCTTCGTGTCCTTCTGCGTGAGAACCAGGATGACTTCGTTTTCGTCGTCAGTCATGCTGAAGGCAAACTGAATTGTGCAGTGCAGTCTTTATTTTCATAGTAATTTTCTATATCAAATCACCATTGCCATAAAAAATGACTTTTACAGGTTTAATATTGTTCATACTGATCAATTTTTTGAAAAACCTATCAATAAAGCTCGAAGAAATTTCAAACCAGTGCACGTGATTTTAGTATACATAACAAGAAAGCTATACGACCATCAGTGGGAAAGTTTATCTGACCACATTTTATCATTCACACCCATTCGTTCTGATTCGTTTCATCATTTTCATCAACATTAACATGACTGATGCAAGTAGTTTTAACCATATATTAATATAATGACGATCCATGAATAAATAGAATTTAGGAATATGTTCAATATATCCATCTCAAGCTCATCAATTGTGAACAAATCATAATTTGTACAAAGTAATTTTAAATATTGATAGCAAGTACCGGACCAATCAGACACATGAGGTCAAATAAGTTTTAATTCTCTGAATTAATGTAAACATTACATTAATTGTGTGTTTGTGACCATTACAATTTTGTGCACATTACATTATTTTCTCAATTACTTTTTTCAGAAATCTAAAAAAATAATGAAGATTGAATAATGTTGACGCAGCTATCTATGTTAACAAAATATTGCCCACGCAACATTTTTGTATCCATTAAACTACTGTAGTTAGTTACATTACTTTTGTTAATTAAATTACTTGTTTGTGTTACATCACTGTAAATACCATAAAACCTGAGTATAGTACACTGCACTGCATAACATTACGCTAATACTTTACGTGCCGGACCACCAAGCATGACCACTTCAAAACCAATCTTCAATAATCACTCGAGTTGCAAATTTCATCCCTTCAACATAACGTAGCAAGTAATAATTTGTATGCATACCTATGTGCCGTGTATATGCTTGCGGTGAACCAATTAGAACAAATTATTTGCTGGCACTGATCTTTAATTATTTCATGTCAAACCTTACCCAGCAGACACACCAAATATATACTTAATCAGCCAGCCAATCAGCCAGCCAGTCAATCAACCGACCGACCAGCCAACCAATAGGCTTCAAGTCAGACGTCCGACCGACGAAAAACAACCAGCTAGTCAGTCAACCAACCAACCAACCGACCGACCGACCACCCAACCAACCAACCAACTACTTTCTAACCCAACTACCTAACCAACCAACTACCCAACCAACCAACCGACCAAACCAACAATCAATAGAGTAACTAACCTGAGGATTTTCAAGAAATGATTCTCTGTTGTTAATACAGCCACCTGCCCGATTCGGAGTGGACCATTCACCATCCAATGTTGATGCGTGCCACCTGACGACGACGGCGATGACGATGTTGGCGAGGACGATGATAATAATGTGGACACACACACGCACACATATCCTCTAGAGATATGTGTGCGTGTGTGTGTGCATGTGTGTTTCAGTGTATATGCGTGAGAGAGTTAGTTTTTTAAAAGGCGCGCATATATTAATAAATAACAAACAGTAATCATGCTTTATAATTTTAAGTTGTACGATTGTATCTTTGAATGAATTTTCAATTAGTACTTGGAATTAAAATGCATTGCGTGTGTATTGACAAATGGCCAATAGCCATGTTGATGCGTGCCACCTGACGACGACGGCGATGACGATGTTGGCGAGGACGATGATAATAATGTGGATGTTTACATTCAAATTTATACACAATGCATCATCAGCGTATTTGAAAAAGTCTCGGCCAGCAAAAATTTCAACCAACGTCAACCAGTCTTCAGTACTCAACTGGTAAGAATTAAACCTATTCGGTTTAAGATAATTTACATAGGCACAAAAAATATGGAAAAACCTTTTGCTTCAACAGATAAAATTGATTAACAATTATAAAAAGAATTTTAATAGTACTTGTTAAGTTATAAGCCCCCGCGATATTCCTCTAGAGATATGTGTGCGTGTGTGTGTGCATGTGTGTTTCAGTGTATATGCGTGAGAGAGTTAGTTTTTTAAAAGGCGCGCATATATTAATAAATAACAAACAGTAATCATGCTTTATAATTTTAAGTTGTACGATTGTATCTTTGAATGAATTTTCAATTAGTACTTGGAATTAAAATGCATTGCGTGTGTATTGACAAATGGCCAATAGGTATCATTATTTTGCCACTATTAATATTGTTATTGGTGTTAAAATTATTGCTATTGCTGTATATATATATATATATATATATATATATATGTTTATATATATATATATATATATATATAGAGAGAGAGAGAGAGAGAGAGATTAAAATATTATAAATGGTTTATGACTATGTTAATTTTTTTTTATCACCAATTATCATACAATTATACAATAATTAATAATTATACAAGCATAAGCAGATATATTTTTTTTACATTGCCTTGAAATGTAACAAACTTAAACTGCGTTGTCACCAGTTGTAACTATTATTTTATTTCTGCTCATTTTAGGTACTACTAATTTTATAAATTATTTCTGTTCACTGAGTTGAGGCAGAGTCACAAGTTTTTATTTACATTTGTTTGCTGAAAGGTGTGTATTGTGCTCATTCCAGTGGGACGGAACACTTGAAGGAAGTTTCGTAAAAGAACAAACATGGATGCATTAAAACCGACGTCCTTAAGAACCGACTGCAAGCATCACTTATGACAAATACGAAGATTGATGATAGTTACATGCTGGTTGCTCCACCTAGAATTTGGAACAATTCACCATTACGTCTCGACAGATCGCTTCAGCGAAGGATTTTAGTCAACAAAACACTTAATCGATAATTTATCCTCTAACGAATACTAAAAAGCGAATGAAAATAATACTAGATTTGAAAACGCATTATTTAAAAAAATGAATAGTACCTGAAGGTTCTGAATAAATAGTTAATCTACAAAACAGTGTAATGCAAACTCTTATTAGCTAATTAGAATTTTTCCCTTATAATCGCATCCAAAAGGATTAATTGAAATAACCTTTTTTGTAAACTGAAGAGACTGAGATTGAGCATGTGGCAGACTGCAAGGTTGATAAAGTTGGTCACAAAATCATCAAACGTCATCCTAGTGCATTTAATTCAACTCAATCAACAAAATACTTACAAATGCACCACCCTCAAAAAATCAAACAATTTAGTCACAATTATAAATAAAAATATGTTTCATTAAAAGCAGAATTAATGACCATGATTAGAATAAACTAAATTTTAAATGAGTAAAACTTTAAATCAATCAATCAATCAATTAACCAATCAATCGATCAATGAATTTATTAATTAATCAATCAACCGACCAATCAACCAGTCAATCTATCACTAATCAAATTATTATTAAATTAATTAAAAAGTCAATCTGTAGACAACTAACCAAAACTCCCCGTCCTCGTCAAACGTCAAACCAATGTTGCTTCTTTCTTTGCTCGTTATTTTGGACCACTCCTCAGACCTAGTAGTTGAAAAGTTAGTCAGGATAATAAATTAGAGATTATAATGTAATGACGGCGTAATGATGCAACGATAATGTAATGGTGATGTGATGATGAAATGATTATCAGATGTTGACGTAATGACAAAGATGGTGAAATAAAAAACGTGAATAGAAAAAAAAACAAAGTAGCCTCAGTTTAAACGATTTTTAAATCAATGAACCGATTTGAAAGGCTGATAAAAGATACAGCTTGTAGGTATATGATTCAGCTATCTGCTTGAATGATGTAAAGAATAATAATACACTGAAATGAAAACATTGTAGTAGGCTCAAATGTATTTATCCAGCAAATATATCATTTAACAACTAGGTGAACCTTCAAAAGAAATTTTATCGATAGGATGATAAACATGGTGTGATGATGAAGCAAGATTATGTGATTAATGTGACAATTAGGAAGATAAATGGCTTGAGAAACAATATGGTAAAGCCACTGGTTGATGACATTTTGTTAGTGTTAACATGTAAGACGTTATCGTTATATAAGTATAATATTAATACACATTAACAAATTTTGAAAGACAAATTTAGTTTTGCAAATGTAATTTTGCAAATTCAGCACAATTCAAATAAACCATTAACCAAATTCATGTGCCAGTATTATTATTCTATACTGCCATACAAAGTTGAATACGTATAGATCTTATAATAAGCTTATAAAAAACCAATTCTGACCGCAAATAACAAACATTTTATTATTTAATTCCTACTTGTTTATACTGCAGATTTTAAAAGTATGGAGATATAATTATGAATCACAATAACAACAGCAACTACAAAATGATGAAGTAATGATGACGAGGTGATGATTATGAAGATGCTTAAGCAAATGCCAAGCAACAATAAACAAAAGCACGACGTAGCATCACCTGTATAAACAGACATATTCAAAAATATAACGATATATATATATATATATATATATATATATATATATATATGACGTACATATGTATGTATATATATATAAACATGTATATTTATATATATATACACATACTATGTGTATATAAATGTGTGTGCATTGTAATTGTAATAAACGAAGTTTCTTTCCCATGAAGAATATTGAAATCAAATTTCCACCCGGTTCTGAAAAGCGCACACTTTAGCATATCAAAAAAAGAAGAAATGCTGATGTTTCAACCATCAAGATGACACCTGCCCATTCTGTTGCTAACGAGAAGTGCAATCCAATGAATATAAGTAAATTAAACCAGAAAATTGATAAACATTTTTTTTCAAAAGTTAAAAGTCCTTTTTTGCAATAAAACACAACATTTTAACAAAAACACGATATAAAACCAAATCGATAAAAAAAAATAATTGACCCCAATTTAACAATGTAAATGAAAATCTATGTTATGCTTTAAAATATAAACCAAACTATATGCTAAAAGTTAAAATTGTATCCAACTTTGTAATGACAAAACCAAATTGATGTATTCAAAATGTTAATAATATTTGATACGTGTAATTTGCGTAAACATTCATTTTATTATAAACTATTTATCTTTTCCATAAATACGTTTATTATTATACTTAAATATATAAACATACCTGCTTCTACATGGTGATTTGATTAACAATTTATTTAATTAATATTGAATTTAATTGAAATCATTTAAAACTATGAAAGGTTTCATTGAAACGTGTGATAAAAAGTTAAACCGTATTTTTCTATTTGCAGACAAATATAATAAATGATAACAACAATAAAAAATCAACAGGAACAATATAAAAAAATAATAATAACAATAATAATAAAAAATTAGCATCATCGCCATCTTCGCCCACATAAAATTAAATAGGTGACCAAAAGCATCAACGACAATTCATAAACGTACCCATCACTGAAGGCCCCCTTCCATTCCGAGCCACCCCAGGGATTCCTCAATCGAATCATCGCCAGCTTTTCTCGTTTCAAAAAGCTAAACAGACCTGTCCCTTTCATGCCCACCTGCAGTATTATTTGTTTATTTGCTCGTTTATTTGTTCGTTTATTTATCTATTTGTCAAGTCAGCTTACCTCAAAGATCATCCGTAGTGAATTACGGACAAAAATATTTGCAAACAGCAATGATATAAATGAAACTATTGCAAAGGGTTGGCATGGGGCAAGGGGCCAAATAACAATTTTAATAAGTGGTCTTCGCTTTAAATCATTCTGATTTTACCACCATCTCAAACAATAACAATAATTCCTACGCAAAAAAACTTGAATTCATGGCACCTAACACAATTCTATGAATAATTAAAATATCTAAAGTGTGGTTTAGAGTAACCCAACATGTAGAAACTAGACTAGAGACTAGTAAAAACCAGATAAACTTTCGGCAGCAACATTGACCTATTTTCGCCGTTTTTAAATATTTTCTCCGTCTCTAAAACTTGCTGTTTGACACTAATTCTGAAAAACCATCTTTGGATGATTGTGATTTGAATAATTACCGACCAATATCAGGTCTTATATTTTCATCAAAAATTTTGAAAAACATTGTTGTCAACTTTTGCATCATTTATATGAATACCGTCTTACGCTATATTATTAATTAGGTTGTCGGAACTTTCATTCGACAGAGACAGCTTTGAGCTTTAGTAGATGTTTAGTCTAATTTGATGCTCAGACTGGATATGAGTGTTGCATCCGACAGTGTAGTGCATTAAAACACCTTGCAATTGGAAGTATTTTTTTTTTGAACGTGCAATACTTTTGCAAAAGCTTGCAGATTCTACAAATATACTAATTACCCCTTACGACTTTCGGAAATGCTTTTTATCTTTTTATGATGAATATATATATTTTATTCTATTTTTTTTATAAATAGTGTGAAACAGTTCTATAATTTAGATGAATTTAATATTGGTAAAAAAGTTCTTCTGAATGATCTGGAAAACTCTAAAACGGATAATTCTTGTTTTAAACTTAAACAGAGAGCTAACAACAAATATGACAAGTTGTTACACATTATTGATATTGTTAAATTTTGCACGGACAAGAAAGTGGATTTACCAACTTATGTCGCTGCAGATTTTTCGAAAATGATTCTCAAAAAACTTTATCTATGGATGCTGACGATGGTTTTCAATTAGTAAAATCAAAAAAAAGAAAAAATAACTTATCTTCTTCTCAGCCAGGTCAACCTAGTAATAACGAACCTGCTATGAAACGCTCGTCGATAAAAACCTTTGGTGCTGGCAACAACTGCCCTTTAAAGTCCTCTAAGACAATTGAAAAAATGTCGAATCTTGCAAAAAAGAGGTTATCGAGAATCATCTGAAAAGCAATAATATTTTATTCATACACTGCTTTCCAGTTTTTCGCAAACGCAAAACTGACGATGCAACTGAAGTCGATAAAAATACACAACAACAGTCAACAGCATATAAAATAATTCTGCCTAAGGACGAATGCCAAAAATTACTTAATCCAGAAATTTGGCCTAAGTATAGCTTCTTACATGAGTGGGATTATGATTACTCGAAAAATAAGATCTTCAATCATGGATCACAACCATGATTCCGAACATCTTAACCACAAATCCAATATTCATGGTAACTCTGACTCTTTCCTTAGTGATATTGATCCAAATGATAACTTGCTAAATAATGTTAATGGGGACTGTCCTCTTCTGTCGCCAGAGGAGGTTGATCCATTTATTGACGCAGGTGTATTTTCGATTATTCATATTAATAGTAGGAGTTTAATTAATAAAATGACTGAAATAGGCACTTTAATTGAATGTTGTAATAATAAATTTCATTTAATAGCTATAACTGAAACATGGTTGCATAATGACAATGCTAATTTAATTAACATGCCTGGCTTTGACTTTGCTTTCAAAAATCGTGTAGATGGTATTGGTGGTGGTGTTGGTTTGTTCGTTATTAATTGCCTTAAATATGTTATCCGTGAGGACTTATTATATTTATCGCCAACTTTTGAATTACTAGCAGTTGAAGTATTTATTAATGGTGATTTAAATTGATTGATATATGTTAAGTATCCTCCTCCTAACTCTGATCCTAAGTTATTTATAAATGATTTATGTACTTTATTATCAAAAATTAAATCTGATTCATTTAAATTTATATATTTTATTGGTGACTTTAACATTGACTTATTAAAATGTGACTATAGAAATACTTCTACTCAATTTGTTAATTTATTTCACGCCTTGAATTTTATTCCCTTAATTTCTGTTCCTACTCGTGTCACTATTGCTAATTCATCATTAATCGACAAAATTTTACGAATAATTTGAGTTCTCATAAATCAGGTGTAATTTACTCTTCTTTGTCTGATCATTTTGCTGTATTTACATCTTTTGTCCTGTCGTTTGAAAATAATCCCTCTAATTCTTATACAAAATCTTTTAATTATAAGTGTTACAACATTGCAAAATTAAACCATTACCTAAAGACTTTTGATTGGAATGTTGTTTTAAGTTGTTCAGACACTGATACAGCTTTTGAATTGTTTTCTAATATTTTTAAACAAGCTGTTATTAAATTTTGTTTAGCAACTCATAAACGAACTCGCAAGAAAAAATCCTGGATTACCAAGGGTTTGGTTATTTCCTCTGTTGTTAAAAATAAACTTTATAAGAAATTCTTACAGTCAAAATCTTTGTCTGACCAATTGTTATATAAAAATTACAAAAATATTTTTGTAAAATTATGTAGAGTTTCAGAAGATATGTATTTTAGGGATCAATTTAATAGAAATAGGCATAATGCTAAAGGTACCTGGAATTTATTGAAGTCATGTATGAGTATGAAAAAAATTCAATCTTATAATATTACTGTGGATAACGAGCTAATAAAAGATGACTTGAGCTTATGTAACCATTTTAACAACTATTTTTCTAATTTTGTTAATTGTAGTCATTCATTAGGGGGTGAAAATGTTAGTCACGGTTATCGTAAGTATTTGGATGTTCATGTTTCAAACACTTTTGTTTTATTTGATTGTTTTTTCCTTGAAATCATTGATTCTATAAATAATTTTAAAAATTCTTATAGTTCGGGTGATGATTGTTTTTCAAACTTTTTACTAAAAAAAACTTTTAATAATATTATTATTCCTTTACAACATTTAATAAATTTGTCTTTTAATAATGGTTATTTCCCTAAATGTTTAAAGATTTCTAAGGTTATACCCTTGTTTAAATCTGGTAATAGGCATATTATTAATAATAACCGACCTATATCTATTATTTCTAGTTTAGCCAAACTTATTGAAAAAATTGTTCATAATAGACTTTCTAATTTTTTAAATTCTAATAACATTTTCTGCTCTAATCAGTATGGTTTTCGTCCTAAACAATCTACACAATTTGCTATTGCTGACGTAATAAATTATGTTTCTCTTGCTCTTGAGTCTAAAAAATTCTCTATTGGCGTTTTTATTGATCTCTGTAAGGCTTTTGACTCATTGGATCATAAAATTTTACTAAATAAATTATCTAGATACGGTATAAGAGGAATAGCATATAAATGGTTTTATTCTTATCTGCATGAACGTTATCAATATGTCTCTATTAATAATTCTGTCTCAACTGTCTTCTATTGCATCAGGTGTTCCGCAAGGTTCTATTTTGGGTCCTCTATTATTTAAAAATTTTATTAATGACTTTATTAATTCTTCTAGTGTTTTAAAATTTGTACTTTTTGCCGACGATACTACTTTACTTTTTTCGCATTCTAATCTTGATTTATTGGTTTTTACTATTAATAATGAATTAATTCATGTCTATGATTGGGTTGTTTCTAATAACTTAAGAATTAACCTGGACAAAACTTTATTTATTTTTTTGGTCCTACAATTCGTACAGACATTTATTATCCTATCATAGTACTAAATAATATATTTATTAAAAGAGTATATTTTGTAAAATTTTTGGGTGTTGTTATCTCTAGTAATTTGAATTGGTTTGATCATATAAGGTGGATATCTAGCAAACTATCCAAAAATCTGGGTGTAATTTATCGTTTGAGATCTAGGTTTCCTATCTTTATTTTAATGTCTTCATATAATTCTCTCATTTTGCCCTACTTAACTTATTGCATTCCTGTTGTAGTTCGAAGTCCAATCTTCATATGTTAACTCTTAATCAAAATTTTTTCTTGCGTATTTTGTTTAAATTAAATAGAATTGATCACATTAACCATTATTATAATATGGCAAATATTTTAAATGTAAGTCAATTACACACTGTTTATTCTTTAATTTTCTTTTTTAAATTATATAAACTTAATTTTTGTCCGTTACTTCATAAGCAAATTATCATATTTAAAAACTATAATACTCGATCCTTGAGATATAATTCTGATTTTTATTTTTCTAAACCCAGGTCAAATTTTTATATAAATTCAGTACTTTCTTTAGCAATGCATCTTTGGGATTTACTGCCAATATATGCTAAGAATTCATTGACTCTATGTTCTTATAAAACTATAATTAACAAATTGGTTCGTTCAAATTACTTTTCTTGACTAATTTTTAATATAGCAACTCGACCATTTAGTTTTATTGTCTTAATTTTCATATTACTCGAAAATGTTTTATTATTATTATTAGTGTATAGTTAAAAGAATTCCTTTCTCATCATCTATTATTTTTATATTTTGTTTATAATAGAATTAGTTTTATGTTTATGTTTATTACTATCCATAATCCTTTTCTATTGTGCATAGGTGGCCCCAGAGGTGGACATGGGTTGGGTTAACCCATGGGTTGGGTTGGGTTGGGTCCAAATTTTTTAAAGTTGTGTGGGTTGGGTTGAGTTGAAATTTTCAAATTTTATTATAAATAATTTATTTCTGTATTTTTTTTATTCTTAAACGAACATTTTAACTAGTTAATAATCGGTGTATTTTATATCGCTGTAATATCATTGTATCTTTGGTCTATCGTTTCCACTTTCTTTTTGTGATTATTGAGTTGAGCAAAAGTTA